TTATTGCACTAAACCCCCCCCCCCCCCATCACGCTTCATTGGGCGTTTAACAATTATATTACCCGCGACGAACAAATACAGCACGAAATTACGACGTAACGACATCCCATTATTGATTACATACGAGCGCCACACCAATCTACACCTGTGAATAACTCTATAATTATACTACCCAGCATGCAACAGGCCGGCACATACAACAACAAAATCGATTAATATTCCATATCTGCTCTCGATACATGACACCTCAGATTGCCTCCATCACCTTTGGGGGGAGGCGGGTGGGGGGAGGGCAAGGCTTTTGGTAAAGTGAAACTGCCGCAAACCGATTCATCGCCTGCAACTGCTTTGTCCACACCTGAGGCAGTATTCTCGCAAAACAAGGACATTAAACAGCAGGTTCAGGATTTTATAAACCAGTCCAAATGTCGTAAATTTGTCACGTGATGAAACACGTCGGTATTCCTCGCCGAGCGGATCGTCCGCCTCGGCTGCGAGCAACCGGTTGCGGAGACGTCCACACGCAAGCACGCAACAGAGTTGCCACGTGCAACCGATCACTCAGGTGTGGACCGGGCTTGAAGGTGGGGGGAGGGAGGGGGGGGCAACTGAAGGTGGGTCAGCGTCCGGCCTCGGAGGAGACATTGTCGTCAGGGTCCCCCCCCCCACCACCGGGGGCGTCCGGCGACGACACACTCGCACAGCCGCGGGCACGGAAACCGCGCGCGCGCGCGCGCACGCACGCGCACACGCACCTTCTATTCTCGGCGCCCCCTTTTATCCCGACGTTTACGCCGAGGCCCGGAGTGGCACCGAGGCAGCCTCCCGCGGGGACGTCCATGCATGGTAAGGAATGTGCGCCACACGCGGCGCCCAAACAGATGGGCCACGTCGAACAACTGCCGCCTCGGCCAATGCGCTTTAGCGGCCACTTAGCAAGTCGTCGCACACCCGCCCCCCCACACACTCCCCACACACAACCCTATCCCTCCGGCCAACCCTCCTCTTGTCCCGTCACGTGTTTCAATAAATTAGTGCATTCGTCAGGAAGGGGGGGGGGCAGTATTTGTCACCCGGGGTGATAAATACTGCCAGTATCCAGAGTCGACTGTGTCACCCCATATGGACAGCGTCTGCACATTCGTTCAGTGTCCACATACAGGCAGTGTCCACCATGGCCAGAAAGCTGCCTCTATTCTAATCGCACTTCCATCGATGTTTCATCTCACATTAGGGTGTTTTTTTTTTAAATCCCGCCTGAAAAGATGTTCCCTGTCAAGCATGCTGCGGTCTCTTTCCAAACAACACTACAACGCTGGCCATCGTGCAGTAGCTCTCATCTGGAGATTAAACGAAGAAAACCATTGACATCATTCTTCACCTCTCGTTGGTACCAATGAGGCATTTTGGGAACCATTGGCTCAAGGGTTAACTAACATGGCCCGGATGGCTGCAATGACATTTTAAATTATTATTATTCTTTCGTTCTTTCGGCAAAGTCACGTCGATAGAAAACATTATAATACAAACAAAAATCCCAACGTTTAAAATTATTTTAAATTATTGTTTGAGGTTTCTGTACCACGTTGTCCCTTAGCGAACTTTCCTGCGCGCGCGTTGCATGCGCGGTGCCCGACTCTAGTTTGCGTTCTCCTCTGGCTTTGGATCGGCTCGTGCTGCAGGCGCTGAACTATCGTCGCGTCGCCAGAGCGAGAGAGACGGCGACGTCTTTGGGGGGGGGGGGGCTCGTCATCCCGGGGACCGACGTTAGCGATGGCGATTAAAAGATGTCACTTTCAGCCGTTGTCGCTCTGCCGTGTTGCCGTACTTTTGTTTCCGGCTCCCCCTTTTATTCCCCCTCGTAAACCGGTGCTCAGTCTCTCGCTCGATGTTTTCCGGAACGATGCTAGGCCGATGGGGTTTCTAGCGCAGGGATTGTTTGGGGCACTATCACGAAGGAGTGCAAGGTGAGCCGCTCCACATTAATCCGCTTAATCCCATATTGTTGTAGCATCTATGCCTGCGTGTAGAGGCGCAGCATCGCACGCCTTCAGAGTTGCGTCAGGACAAAACAAGGCCAACATGGATGCGGCGCCCCAAAATAATTCCCACCAACGTCGCACTGGACTGCCCCGGCTAAGATTAATCACTGCTTGCCAGTGAGATAATCGTTATATAACAATGTCCTCTGCATCGAACAAACGAAATCGCCGCGAACCACCGCAAAGGTAGCGAGAGGGGTGTATTTTTAGCTTGTAGCTACCGGGACGCGTCGCGAGAAGCATCGCGGCTGTCAACAAGCGAACCGCCGAAAGATTAACGCCGGAGTCATTGTGCCCAGGACAGTGTGTGTCCTTCCGCTGCACGTGATTCCTGCTGACGCCGTTGCCAAAGTGGGCTCTGCAAGTCGGCCCAAGGTGGCAATCGTTCTTGTTAAAGCTTACAAAGCAGAAACGACAACAACAACAAAAACTAAACTATTTTATTCACCGGGTCAACTGCCGGTGAGCTATTAGATATTTTTTCAGAGGCAATCTGGGCCACTCGTTAATAGCTCGTCAATAGTGGCGATATCATCACCATCATCGCACTTGGGGATTTATAGTAGCAGCCTAAAGAATCTAAACGCGTGTTGTTTCTAAATGTGGAGGGCAAAACCGGAGGCCCCCAGGGGAAAAAAATCCACGCGACTGCCACGGGGAGAGAGAGAACACACGGACTACAGATACACAACAGGCATCGCCAGAGTCCGGGATCGACCTTCTGTGTGCCAAAGGCTATCATCTTGTGATGGTAGCCTTTGTCCTATGAGAATTGCGCAAATACCAAATGTATTAATCTATTTATTACCGCCGATAATTATTGGCATGGACGTTGTGGAACAGCTCATCCGGAAAAAAACATATAATGAATGCACCCATAACGAATGAACGTCTTGCTTAATGAAACAATATCAAAGACGAGGTATGTTCGCGTGATTTTCAGACAGCGCCAGGAGAGCTCAAATGCAGTGGACAGAAGGAAGTGAGCGCGGTGTGGAGCACCGTTTAGCCCCCTCCGTTTTGTCTTTCGCTGGCCACACGCCGTTATTGGGCCCCTCGGGCCCGTTGTTCGGCAACTTTGATTGAAAAACAAAATATATTTTCTCCGCATATACTGTCTTCCGCTGCACGTTGCATTTAGTAAGTAAGCCATTTATAAACGCGCATCTCTTATCGCCGAGGTCGGGTACGCACGCGCGTTCACACGCCCGAGCACCACGCTCCAGGATCTGCAACTGCTTATTTACGGAGCGACAACGACGACGATTCCCTTGTTCCGAGCGACGGCGATTCCCCTGTTACGATCTGAAACGCCCCTTTGTTCTGGCCACTGGGGATGTGCTGCATTTGAACCTTAGCGGCATCAATGAAGCATGCCGATGATGAAGGGGTAAGGGAAGGGGGGTGGGGGGCATCGCGTTGGGGCGAATTGCCGTCAACGAGCACCTCCTACGAAGTGCCCGACTGACACACCGGGCCTCGCACGACGCACGCATCTCGACCCGGCGGTCGAGGATCTGCAGCAGTCGAGGAATCTGCGCACCTTCCTGGGGGAACAGGTCGGGCTGCGGCCCAGCACTGGCCCACAGGGCTGTGCCTCTCCACTGTGCCACTGAAACTCTCATCAGTAAGTCTGCCCGTTGTCACTCGCAGGCGCGGGTGCGAGGCGGAGAGCGCTACCGACGCCACGCCATCCACGGGCCGGCCGTTACGCAAACGTTGACCGAGATGAGGCCAGGCGGCCAAGGGGTCAGAGTCCGAGTTCAAATCCAGGATCTCGCCACCCGTGGGTTAAACTGATTAATTGGTCGTGGTGGTGCTGCTGCTGAGTTGTCAGCGGTGCACAGGGAAGTTTACCAACAACGCACACTCGTCAACAACGCGGCTTTAAAAGAATAACAAAAATAACATTAAATGAGCGACGTTTCGGGAACGACCCTTCTGCATTGCACCCATTGCCCAAAACTTTGCCGATTATATATTTTCCCCCCGCCCGTTCAGGCAGTGTTGTTTGACGTGCGTGTGCGCGCGTGGGGTTTTCACGATCAAACCGGGGGTCTCCACAGCAAGTCAAGTGACGGCCTCAGCCCGGTCACCAATGAGTACGTGAAATAAAAAGTAAGCGGCGTGGGAAAAACAAAAATGCGGTGCTGCACTCAACTTGGCTTGCAATCTCGCCCTGGGAATAAAACATTCTGTATGCGTCGCTGTGTGCGAGGAGCGTCGACACAGCGGGGTACGTGATTAAGTTCCTAGAGTGTGGAAAAAAAGGGTCAATTGAAGGGCCTCTAAGAAGTAGTTATGTGGTATCTCGTTCTGCGGGTTGTTCGCGAACACAGGGCTTGTCGTGAACTCCTCTGCGAGAGTTGTAAACGGAGCCTTCGTCGCATCGCGTGATGCAGACAGCAGGTGCGAAACACCATGGACAGAGACATCAGCAAAGGAATGTGCTTGAGAGTTATTCCATTAAGTTGTGATCGTTAAGGCTGTCAGATAGAAATGCAGCGTTAAACATCAATAACAGCGGTACATAAGACAATGAGTCATATCACAACACAGTGATGATGACGACGACGACGACCATGATGATGACGATGGTGATGATGACGGTAAGGATGATGGCGATTATGACAGCAGTGACAATTACGACGCTGGCGATGGTGATGATGAAGGCGACGATGATGACGGTGATGACGGCGATGACAGCGATGATAATGACCACGATGATAACGATGACAATTGCGGCGACGGTGACGATGACTGATAATGTTATGACGATGACAATGACGACCACAATGGCAACACTGGCCCCCACACATCCAGCTCACGCTCGGCAAACCCCTCGCCGCTCCTCCAATCCCCCCCCCATCTCCCGAAGACGCCGAAACCATCGAGCATTCTCCACCGCCCCACCCCCCACATCTCCCAAACGCCACCACCGCCACAGCCCTCCCTCACCTTTGACCTCCAGCTTGCACTCGGCCTCGGCCTCACCGAGCGAGTTGATGGCGCGGCAGGTGTAGACGCCGCCGTCGTACGGGCCAGGCTTGCGGATCTCCAGCGTGCACACGCCCTGGTGCCCGAACATGCGGTAGCGCGGATCTTCCTGCAGGTTCACCTTGTTCTTGAACCACACGATCTTGGGCTGGGCGGGGGGGAGGTGAACAGGGAGCGGTGGTGGGTGGAGGAGGTTGATGAGGAGGTGGTGTTGGCAGAGGTTGATGGTGGGGGAAGTCGAGGCGGAGGAGGAAGAAGTGGTGGCGGTTGTAGTTTTGAGGATGGTGGACAGGGGTGGTGCTTGTGGTGATGATGGTGGTAGTAGGCAGGGATAACGGTGGTAGTGGTGGAGGAGGTGATGATGATGATGATGGTGGTGAAGGTGAACAGGGGTGGTAGTTGCGGTGGAGAAAAAGGACGTGGTGGTGGTGGCAAGTGGTATATTATGATGATGGTGGTGGTGCAGGAGGAGGAGATGACGGTAGACAAACATCCCCCGTATAGCCTTCACAGAATGTTGGGGCAAGTGCTGTTAGCGAGCACCTATGAAGGCCAGAACGGCACACGAGGGGGTGGGTGGCCAGCACCACGCCTGGCCGCCTTTATTTCCCTAGTAGCGATGTTTCACGCACCGCACCAGGTACTAATTTGAGGCTGAGTCGACCTAGGGGAGGCCCAGGACCGGTTCAGATAATCGTCCCTGGTGTTGGCCATGAGCGGGAATCGAACTGGGGATAACCGGCTTCGTAGGGCCGAGCGATAACCGCTACACAACCGAGGCATCCGTACGCCCAGACGCGCACACCCAGAATAGAAAGCCTTGCATCGACAAATCACAGCAGGTAAAAATAAACACGCGTTCTATCTACGCGGTCGTGTAGGCGAGTTATGTAACTACAAACTCCCATCACCGTAACGGCGAGACAGCCGGAAAATAATACGTACGAGTTGAAATAATAATGGTGTCACCGAATGGTAATTATACATTACGCAATCTATTTAAAACTCTTAAACGGCCACCGGGTAATAGTCATTTGCTTAATTATAAATCGTGCAGAGCAGTTGACGTTGACTGTTAAGTAGAGAGCGTGGGCCTTGGCAGGGCGCGTCACGAGGAGGTTACGAACGGCCGGTGGACGAGGCTGGTGACGGAACGGCAGTCGAAGGAGGGAAACAATAACCACCACCACCACCATCACCACCACCCCCGAGGTGGTGGTGATGGTGGTGGTGTGAATCAGTTCACGGGCCAACCTCTGCATCGCTGGACCGTGACGGACAGCGTTCGGCTCAGCTTGAGATTCACCAAGCAGTGGGTAGACAATGGCTGACGTCCGTATACAGATTGCGTGTTGAACTTCTTTCGCGCCGTACGTAGCCAACCGCGCTTCATCGCAGGTGACGACGGTATTGCTGTATTAAAGTACACGCGGCACCGTATGTTTCGTTTGTGATTTACATGTTTTGTTCAGTGGAGTCTTGTTTTGGTGGCGTTTGTGTCCGACAGCCACGTGCAACCGATGCAATACGGTAATTACGCACGCGCCTTGTTGTCCAATTACCGCATTGCTCCGGGTTGTAAAATATGCATTTGTTTTTCATGCTGAAATGTGAAGTGGAAAGTTGGGCGTGCGTCCTCATAATCCGGTAGCCGCGTGCGTGCGCGATCAGATTTGTATCGCGCTATCGACACCGGGCACAAGTTCGGGTGGGGTGGGGGGAGTGGGGGGGGCACGTCTTACTTTCCAAAGCGTCTTTATGCTCCAGAGGTTACGGTGACACGAGTCGGAGCGTGGTCGCGATAGCTCTTTTGTGGACTATTTTTCGGAGGATGATGATTATGATGAGAGAAAAAATAATCCACGGCACAGCATCTCCATCACCGACGAAGGCAAAAAGGTGGAGCGTTTCGACACTGACCTCCCCCCCGCCCCGCCCCCCCCGTGGCTCCTCTGTACGCACAACCTTCCATACGCACAACCTTCCGCTGACCAATCGCAGGAGACGACGCCAAAGTGAATTCCTGCTCCGACGAGCACTGAGGGGCGCTGTTAACCTCCCAACTACGGCCCCAAGCCAGCGGTTGATATTCCATGTTCCTCTGGCCAAGGACGAGTCTATCCACATGACAAACTCATTGTTGACTTCCGCACAAACCGGTGATTAATTGTATCGGCCCCTGGAGGGGTGATGATGGACCGAGTCAACCCTTACACATCTCCTTTCATCCGCGATGCACCCTTGGTCACATTGCCACTTGTTTTGTTGAGCATCGTGAGATGCGGTTGCATCCGGGTGCTTTAAAAGGTAGAGGTGCAGCCCCTGCAAATGCTGCCTCACGCCGCTGCTGGCAGAAGGGCATCCACTGGACGGAGTTACGGAGAGCCCCTCTAGAGGGTCTACGTTGGCCTGCTCTTCCACACCGGTCACATGATGTCTTGGAAGAGGTGGCAGTGCAACGGCTTTGGTGAGACCTTCATCCAGCAGTGGATTGAGCATGACTCATGATAGTGGTGATTGATGATGATGATAAAAAGAGAAGAGGATTATGGACCAAAACTCTAGCCTCACTGTAAATGTTCCCATGACGAGGTGGCTTTTAACGACGGACGCGACGACGGAAATTTCTGGAGTCGTTTATTTTACAGCGTGCGCCGACGCTCCAAATTTGTTTTGCCGGCGAGGTTTAACCGAGGCATGCTCGGCAAATCCCTAAATCTCCCTCGGAGCGACAGCTGAGCATCCCCCCCCCCCTTCCCGGGCGTTGCTTCGGAATTTCCCCGGCGTAATCGTAACGGCCGAAGCGTGAAACGGGCACGGTTCCCCGTCCTTGCGGCAGGAGGTTCGAGGCGCCGCCTCAGCAGATGTCAGCGGTGGCGGCCGCTGACATCCGCATGACGAACGGACTTTATGATGTCAACTCGGAACTCGGGGCGAACCGGAGGAACCGCAGACGAGCGGGAAAGAGAGCAGTCAGGCGGTGAGCAGGAGTCATCAATGTCCAAAGCTCTGTGGTCCTACAGGGCGTCCATGAAGCCCGTATCTACTTATCGAACTAATAGTATATCTTGATTTGAAGCTTTCGTGACTGCAAGAATCCATACTCTTTGGTTCTTTAGGTAAAGCCACGTAGGTAGAAAAATAATAGATCACGACGTTTCGATCGAAACACAAGCAATCGTCATCAGGTTGGACAACCACAGCAAGAAAAAAACTGCTCAAGTAGGCACGTGTGATGGTAGTAACACTTTCAATAACGTGGTGGGGGGTGGGGGGTTCCTTGTCATTACGCAAACGTCGTGTGGGGAGTACCCGAGTGAAAGCTTTCTAAATCGCTGGATTGGACGCAGCGGCAACAGGCCCTGGACGGCTCCATCTCTGCATTTAACGCCTTTGAGGGGTTTTTTTTTGCATGGGGGGCTTCATCAAGTCAGGAGGTGCATCACACAAGAGTTACAGACGTGCAAAATTTACGACATCGGAAATGCAGGCGGGCGGCGGTTACAAAAATAACTCCACAGATGCTACGAAATGTCTTCCGCAATGCAGCTGACATTGCATCTGTGCAGATATATTGGCGGTGCTTACGTAGAATCCAACCCTTTAGCGTTATTCACGAATATACCTGCGATGTTATTTTGCCATCATTTACCAAAAAATGATTTTATTTCAATAAAAATAGACGGGGACTTCATGGACACCCTGTATTATTTTTATTATTATATTTCCAGCCAATAAATGAGTATAAGTGGTATCTGCTGCAGAGACTACCCAGCTCGCTCGCCCCTCTTTACCCAGGTCGCCCTTGCGAAAGTGGCAATGTCCCACGTGCACCAACGGGCTCAGTCAATCTGCTGGTTTAATAAAGGGTGCAGCACCAGCAGCAGCAACAAGATTTATAAAAAATAAATTCGTGATGCATTGGTTGACCCGTCTCGCGGGTCAACCAGAGGTGGACAATCACTCTCCGAGAACGTTTCTCAGAATTATTAATGAGCGTATTTGTTGTTTAAAGAAACTAATTAATCACGATTGACGAATATTACATTTTATATACTTCGATAATGAGAAATATGCCACCAAATTTTGTTTACTAAAACGGCTGACTTTTTAAAACCACAATATCACCCACCACATCCAGTATACCATCTCCCGTTATGGCTGTGGCAACTGGACACGTGCCACATACTGTCGTCTGCACATGCGATCGGGAATATTTTCGGTGAGAAATTTAAAACTAAACCTTAAACATTTTTTTTTTAAACCAGGGAAGGCGCGCAGAAGCGACCTGACCACAAATGATAGCTGAACGAATGGCCTTATTGTGATGTGGAAATTCATAGCAGCCAAATACTCTAAAACACATGTTCATTCTAAATGATAGGGGAAAACCGGAGGACACGGAGAAAAATCCACGCGACCACGGGGAGGAGAGACATGCAAACTCCAAATATACAGGCGTCAGCGTCAGGATCGAAGCCAAGATGTCTCCCGTATACCATCTCGCCATCGCGGCACCACCATCAAGCAATGGGTCTGCCCCTGGCAATGGAAGAAAACCTCCCCCTCATGTCCTTCTTCCCTTCCTGCGCCCTCTTCTCCCGGCCGCAGCCGCGATCCGAGCAAAGTTTCCAAAATCGAATAACCGGCCTCCGCTCGGCGCGACAGGAGCCTGTAAACGTATCCCTCCACCACCACCACCACTCAAAACCCATCGTAAACACCTCACGCCTATCACCATTAACACCGTCTTATCGCAAAAATGTACACTGTGTGGCGATAGGCGGTGTTAATGATGATGGGTGTGAGGTTTCCCTTGCTCTGTACTTCCACCTCCGTCACTTCCAACACAGATTTTCCACTTGTACATGATTAGGTTCAAGATCCTGCATTGAGTCATCCCTACATACCCCTCTCATTCTGCTCCCCACCACCCACTCTCCTACATCTCATCCCACTCTGCTCCCCACCACGCATTCTCCTACCTCTCCCCTCCGTCATCTCACTCTACTCCCCTCCACCCACTCTCCTACATCTCCCCTCTGTCATCTCACTCTACTCCCCTCCACCCACTCTCCTACCTCTCATCGCACTCTACTCCACTCCACGCACTCTCCTACCTCTTCCCACTCTCATCTCACTCTACTCCCCTCCATGTATTCTCTGCTTCAGTGACAAGGACATTATCTCAAACACCTCAATGGGATGTCGCTTCTTCTCTGCTGCTGCCACTTGGTCAGGATCTTCCTCCACACTGACCACGTGTTCCTCCCAAATCCCTGCCTCCGATCAAATCCATGCTCAAAACCTTTCTCTTCTGCCTATGGCTGTCCCTTCTCAGCTGGAAATGTATAAAAGTTCGTAACGTTCTCCCAATATTCTGTGGTTTCCACACGCAGGGTCGTGTCTGCGCATGGACCAAATTATCCGGTTTCCCCCACACGAAGCCAAACGCCGATAATTAAAATTGGCCAAAACATCGCAATGTAGCAGAACCCTCCTGGGTAAACAGTATTGAGCTTCGGCGAGCCTTTTCCTGGGTAAATAACCGACATTGTTATTCTAAATCAGGTTGTCCGTAGCCTACTTTGCGAGAACGTCAACGGCTCAAACGGTACTGTGGTTCCCGTCGTTACTCTGCCAATGAAATGAGACAGAGCAGGGGAGTGCGGACCTCTCAGAGCCGGAGCCGGACGCACGTTGCAGGCCGATCTCCTGCTGCCTGCGCAGCGTTCGAGAGACGATGCAAGTGCCCGGGCTGCGCCTGTCTCCATGGCCATCAGATACGACGAAAGTTTCCTTCTTGAGCTCCAGCTCCTTTGCCCTCTCCCATGCCCTCCTCCACCCTCCGTGGCGGTGCCTATCTGCGTCGTCCACGTGAACTCCCTTCCACCCACGCACCCACCCACCCACCCACTCACCCGCCACCCACACTCATCCATGCATGCCCCCACCTGCCCATGCACCCATGAACCCAACCCACCCACGCATCCACCCACCCACTCGCTCACCACCCACACACTCACCCATGCATGCTCCCACCTGCCCATGCACCCACCTACCCACCCAGCCACCCATGCACTCGCCTGCCCATCCACCCACGGCTCACTAAAGCCACACGATGTCAATTTTAAGATTCCAATGGTTCAGTTGTTAAAGCCGGAAACTCGGACAGCCAGCCATATCAAAAGCGACGAAACCAACGGATTCGACATTCTGTCCACTGCTGGATGAAAGCCTCCCAAAGTTGTAGCCATCCCTCACAGGCTAGCGATGTGACAATCCGTCCAGCTCCTCCTGCACACGAGCCGATCTCGGGCACGCTCATCCCCCTCCTTTGGCTGCCGCTCCGCAATGAGTCTCGACCAGCGGCACATCGTCCCTCCGAGCGACCGTGTGCCTCGCCCAAACTGTGCACTCCACATCGGTTAACGGTCGGCACGATGTCCCTCTAATTAGCCAGGGCCACTCGGCACACCTGCGCCCTGCGGGTTGCCAAACTGGCATGCCATCGCTGCGCCCTCGCCAGCGTCCCCGTGCCCGCCCACAGAACCCGAGCGCCCGACCGGCGTCGTACCCGGGGGTTCCCGCGGATGCAGCAGCTGAGCGTGGCGTTGTAGCCGGCGACGGCGACGAGGTCGACGAGGGGGTGCGTGAACTTGGGCGCCTCCATGAAGTCGTACTCCTGGTACAGCGGCCGCTTGTACGTCGAGCCTGCCCGACGGCGAGGACGACCGCACCACACGCACGCCATCGCCGTCAGCGTCGGCGCTCCATACTGACACCCACGCAGTAGCACCCCGCCTGCAGTAGTCTCACCGGGGGCAAACTCCCCCGCCGCCATTGGTAGCGGCAGATGTCCCCAGTGCGGTGAACGCGGCACCGGCCCTGCACGGTGGGGACTTATCCGCAGGCGGTTCGCTGTACGTTGGTCCTTTTCCTCAATTAAGCGATTTGCAGATAATCGATCAGATGTGGAAAGCGTGGGCAGCTAAGTGGGCGCGCACGTCCGCCCGCGCGCTCGCGAACGACGTCACGCACGGGATCTCTGGTGTGCACTGTGAAGCGTATGCGGTGTCTTTATGCCCGATGCACCACTAGCGGCATTAACCAGGGCAGCCGGACGGGGAGAGGGGAGCGGAGGGGTTTGAACTTCGAAAATCCTCCACAAGCGGCGGGATTTGCCGTCAATAGACTCGTGCAGGGAGTACGGCACCACTTTAGATTTATGCAGCGTCTCAATGCGGCAAGTCGTCTGACGGAGGGGGACACAAGTGGAAAGGGCAGGAGGCATGAGCCGAGGACGGCTGTCGCGGGTGGAAACGAGAGTCAAAACGATGGAATAAAGAGGTGGACGAGAGAGCTGGCTGGAGTGGTTTTAGAAACGGGCCAAATAAAAACAAGGATCTACATACCATTTTGCAAAATGCCCTCCTCCTTTGCGCGCCTTGCTGCAGATTTAGAACGATTTAAAAATGATAAGCTTGTTCGAAACCACACGTGCGTCTCCGCTCTTAACTTGGACGTAAATTCATTTCGAGGGAAAGTTGCGCGTCTCTTTGAAAACAAGCGGCGGAGGAATGCGGCGGCGTCGGCGGCATCGGATCCGCCGAATCCGATCTCCCGCGCCGCCGCATCTGTCGAGATCCGTTGCGCCGGCGCGGACAGGTTCGTCGCGCGAAGCCGCGGCCCGAAAGAATTTGAAAAGCAACAGCGAATTCCTCCATCTCCGGTTACCGGGACCCCGCAAACGCCACGTGGCGCTGTCAACCCAAACTTCTGCGGGCGACACTGGCCGATTGGCAAAAGGGAGCTTCCTGTCCTGTCGTATGGCTGCTAACGTCTCCGAGTGACTCAGGGGGCTGATGGAACAATTAGACGAATGATAATAATAAGTGCCAACGATACGACTGTGCATGCCTCTAGAAATTGGACATCTGAGAAAAAGAGCCTCGTAGCTCATCGGATTTCTCCAGGATAAATTAACATTCTGACACTGTGAATGTGGTGAGGTGCAAACCTGAAAACTAAACCCAAACTTTTTTATTTCACCAGGTAAGGCCCGGTACTGAGCTATACAACTCGTTTTCAGATGCAACCTGGCCACAAATAATAGTCCAACGAAGTGGCTCATCATGTGGAAATGTATAGCAGCCAAATACTCTCGGTGCATGACCCTAAACGTGGAGGTAAAAACCGGAGAAAAATCCACGTGACCAGGAAGAATGCATTGCAAACTCCAAATGTACAGGCGTCCCGGGTTCGGGATTGAACCCACGGCCTCCGGTATACCGGGTCGAGACAGAGGCGGCCCGGGCGCGACGCCGTTGCGGCCTTCATAGGTGCTCGCCCAAAGCGCTTTCCCCACCAGCCCGCTAAAGGCGATGCGGGGAGATCTTTATGCTTTGTGTGCGTGCCCACCGGTTTTCTGGATGTAGGCGCTGTTCTTGGTGTTGCCGGCTTCTTCGCTCAGGCCGCACATGTTCTCGGCGAAGACGCGGAAGAAGTAGTCGTTGCCCATGATGAGGTCGGAGGCCGTGTAGCTCGTCCGCCGGTAGTGCTCCACCATGGTGAACCACTCCTGCGGACGCCGAAAGCCCCAAGTCAACCTTCGCTCCTTCTCCCCTGCCGACCCCGTGGCCTGGAAGTCCCTCCCACCAGCGATCCGTGCTGTCGACTTCCTGCCTCGAGGTCTAGTCCAGATGCAAATTCCTTTCCTTTTTATTTCCCCTCTATTGTTTATCGTGGTTATTTATGCAGGACGCCTGTTACCCAGCAGAGCTTCACTGAGTCTCAATACTATTTTTCAGGAGGGACCTACTTATGTGGGTAGCTTTCAATCATTGAGATGGATGTTCGCAAACAGCACTCGCCGCAACGGTTTACCGTGCTATACGGGGGGGGCGGGGGCGCGGGCGGGTATTTGTCATCGTGTGTATGTGTGCGTGGGTATAAATATATCCGATGCGTAGATTTTCAAAGCTAGAGATGATCCTGAAAGCCACACTGATGAAACCAACTGCCCGCACCGAGGGCCCCCTCTTGGCGAGAGAAAGGGCGGAACGTGGCGTCCGGATGAGTCTGCGTCCGGATGGAGACGCGGTTAACTTTCCCGGGTCAGGATTTGGCGGAAAGCCGGCGGAAAGCCGGCGGTGCGCCGATTGCCAAGGGCGGACTGGGAAATGCGACTCTTCTTGCAGGGAGATTATTCTCATCTTACATAGATTCATATCAGCACCCTTATTCCAAAGCGCTTTACAACAATTATACAAGTGCACGTGATATGATGGTGGTTGAGATAATAAAAAGTGGGGTTGTCGTTAAAAGTGGTGGTGTAGTTGTGGTTACAGTGAGGAGAAGCAGGTGGGAGTGGTTAAGGAGGGGTTGGAGTAGGCCTGGTCATAGCAGGGGGGCCAGGACAGGGAGCAGCAGTCGCGGTTAGTGATAGGGGTTGGGGTAGTGATAGGGGTAGTGATAGGGGTAGTGATAGGGGTAGTGATAGGGGTAGTGATAGGGGTTGGGGTAGTGATAGGGGTAGTGATAGGAGTTGGGGTGGTGATAGGCGTTGGGGTAGTGATAGGGGTTGGGGTAGTGATAGGGGTTGGGTAGTGATAGGGTTAGTGATAGGGGTAGTGATAGGGGTAGTGATAGGGGTTGGGGTAGTGATAGGGGTTGGGGTAGTGATAGGGGTAGTGATAGGAGTTGGGGTGGTGATAGGGGTTGGGGTAGTGATAGGGGTTGGGGTAGTGATAGGGGTTGGGGTAGTGATAGGGGTTGGGGTAGTGATAGGGGTAGTGATAGGGGTTGTGGTAGTGATAGGGGTTGTGGTAGTGATAGGGGTAGGGGTAGTGATAGGGGTAGGGGTAGTGATAGGGGTTGGGGTAGTGATAGGGGTTGGGGAAGTGAAAAGGATTGGGGTAGGGGTAGTGATAGGGGTAGTGGTAGTGAAATGAGTAGGGGTAGGCCTGGTAATAGCTGGCGGCGGGGGCAGGGAGTAGCAGTAGCAGGGAGAGGAGATGGGGGGTTGTTTTAAAGAAGGAACGGAAGCGGGTGAGTGAAGATGGTTGTTCTCCGTGCTGCAGTGGGAGTTGGTTTCTTCAGCAACCGAGCCGAACGAAGAAATTCCTAGCATGGACAGCAATGGATTATGAAACCTCAACACATTCATCAGTAACACCGTGGCCTTGCAAGGCCAAGGTGTAACTGACGAATAGGCAACGTGTTTGGGTAAATGGGCCTTCTTCAGAGTGAACACGGACGATCATGACGATGACCAGCGGCGGCCGGCGGGCTAATTTATTGGGGGCGAGAACGGAAGCCGGTGGTAGCCCGGGGGCCTCTGATGACGACAGAGGCCCCCGGGCCTCAGATTCCATCGCAGGCGCGGTCCTCACCATCGTCTTCTTGTCGGCCTTCTGCACGGTGTAGCCGGTGATCTCCGAGTTGCCGTTGTCGGTCGGCAGCTTCCACTCCAGGTTCACGTTGAAGCCCCAGACGTCCAGGATCTTCACGGCGAGCGGCGGACCGGGCTTTTCTGTGAGCGAGCGAGTCGGCTGAGGTTAGAGATGGGCTGTCCGATTACCAAATTAAATCGATTACTTTACCGATTTTTTCGTAACGTAATAATAATAATAGCAAAAACAATCCCTTATTTATCCCAGAAAGGTCTCATTAAGTCCCAAGATGGTATGGCTGTGGCAACTGGCCACATGCCGCAGCCTACTCTCGTCTGCAAAATGCGACCGGGGACATTTTCTGTGAGAAATTAAAACGAAACATTTTTTTAAATTAAAACCAGGTAAGGCCCACCGAGCTGTAATAGCTGTTTTTCAGAAGCAGCCTGGCTATTGCAAACGACAGCTCAACGAAGTGGCTTGTCATCGTGTGGAAATTTACAGCAGCCAAATACTCTCAGCACATGTTCCCAAATGTGGGGGGGAAAAAACCGAAGGACCCAGACAAAAATCTATGGGACCAGGGGGAGAACATACAAACTCCAAACATACAGGCGTCAGGGTAAGGATTGAACCCACGACCTCCTGCATTCTAGGCAAGGTAGCTAACATCTCGAGTCGTCTGGTCGAATTGACGGCTCGTGGGCCTGGTTAAACCTTGCAAGAGGGCCATATCTGGCCCGTGGGCAATAGGTCACAAACTCCCTCGTTTTCGTGGGGGTTATCGTAGTTGTGTTAAAGCACGCAATCGTCCTCCAGAGGAACAGACATGCGGACACAGAGCCGACGGACGTTTGCAATATTTCTCCCACATAACGACAAGCATCCGCGATTCATAACAGACGTTTGGGTTAGGCCACGTTAACGGATCTGGCCAAATGTTTGTGTGGTATTCACTCTTCACCATCTGACACAGCCAAACAAATGGATGTGTTTGGTGTTAAGATGTTCAAACACCAAATAGACACCCATTGCAAGGCGTTACGTCTGCATTATTCACATACGCTTGTGGTAAAACATGCAAAACAAATATGCTTTGATAATAATGTAAGCATTGTCCCTGCAATTGTTTGTGCTACACCAGAGACAGCCTCTCCTTTATAGCCTTGTCTCCTGAGTGTTAGACCAGAAAATGCCGAAAGGCAAACAGCACAAAGGCAATTGCAAATATCAAAGCATTTTAATAAATCGGGTTGAACAATTACGACCGTTTCAACTCACCGGTAAGTTAGAGAGCAATTCTCACGACAGAAAAGTAGCGATCCGTTATGATGCCTCGATTCAAACTGCGCCAAGCATCCTCGACAACAACAATTGGTCGGATCACTTCGTGGCTGCCTAACCCCCCACCGACCCCCCCCCGTCCCCCCACCAAAATATGAAAATCATATACGGATCTGATCATTGGTTGCAAAACTCGACGCATAAAAAAAAATACTATCGGGCTTCCTTTAAAAAAGCCGAGAGAGAGAGAGCGGAGAAGGAGAGCTGAGAGAGAACAGAGAGAGAATTGGGAGAGAGAGCGGGGAGAAAGAGCGGGGAGAGAGAGTGGGGAGAGAGAGTGGGGAGAGAGAGCGGGGAGAGAGAGCGGAGAGAGAGCGGGGAGAGAGAGCGGGGAGAGAGAGCGGGGAGAGAGAGCGGGGAGAGAAAATGAGATGCCGGCACCACGGGCCCCAAACTCACCGATGACCTGGAGCTCAAGGATGGCCTTATCCTCGAGGTTGTCGATCTGCACGCTCAGCTCATACTTGCCCGAGTCAGCGCGCGTGCACTTGCGGATGAAGAGGATGCTGTCCGTGTCGCTGTTGCGCACGCTCACGTGCTTGATGTCCACCGGCTCGCCGTTCTTCTTCCACGTCGCCTTTGGCTTGGGCTTACCCTACCGCGGGGCCGGAGGATAGGAGACGGGGGGGGGGACATGCGGTGTGACCTCCGCGGCCTCCGTGGCCGCTCGTGCGGGTCCCAAGACCCAGGTTTCCTATCGTGTTTTAGCATCGTTGTAACTTTCTGACCCACCCCTACTGGACACCTTGTGAAAGACCCAATGCAGAAGATCCCTGCTTTTGATATTTCGTGTAGCTCATGGTCGACCTTACACCGTATCCACTGCACAAACCATGGCAGATGCGGATGCACAAATGGAAAATTACAAACTCTCCAATGTGCGACTGTGGTCATCCAGAACAGACCGTACAATGTAAAACGACGTAATGCCCAATCCACAAACAGGAAGACATCACGGCGATACGCCCCGCTACTCCCGAGGCTCTGCATCTACATCAGCCGTAAAGGAGAAAGATTCAGAAGAAGCTCATGTCAGGCTCGAGCCGCTCTGTTAAGACGCATGAGCAGCTCAGCCATGGCTCGACTCAGGCTCAGCTCGTGGACATCCTCAGCACAGCCGGGACCAGGCTCAGAGCCGGCTCAACTTAAGAAGAAGAAGAAGAAGACCGGACATCGGTGAAAAAGAGCTTCACAGCCCATCGGATTCCTCCTCCAGTCCAAAACAAAGATCCCGATTCTGACCGCCGCTTGCATTGCCCGCGACGACGCGACCGAGCGGATCGCCACCGCCACCAGCGCGCCAGCGTGGTCGAACGCGCCGCTCACCAGGAAAGGGATGAGGACGTTGATGGTCTCTCCCACGCGCTTGATGTACACCTGACGGAGGTTACGGGGCATCTGGATTTTGGGTCGCTCTGCAAGGCACAACGGTGTGTTGGAGAGCAAACCCACAACATTTACAATTCGACGACTGTGACGTCTCGCTGGTGATAGGAGAGTAAAGGTGATGTCATCACTGTGGGCTTATCAGGTACGAAGACCGGGGTGGGGGGGGGGTAGGTTAATGAAGTCACATAAGTTATATATGACGGGAGGTGGCGGGTTTAACGGCACATTAACATTTACGCGATCTAACCCAACAGGCAACAAACTTAATTACGGATAATATTGGTCGCGAATGCCTATCAAGCAGATCGTGGTTTGTGGTCGTGACCTAAAAGATATCGACACCGTCCCGAGAGCCCGTCGTGTCTCGTGGTTGGCTGCGCCGCCGCCACCTCCCGGCCACTCACCCACGACCTCGCGCACGATGACGGCCTGGTTGGTGAGGCCGGGCTTGCTGGGGCCGGCGGCGTTCCACGCAGTCACACGGAAGTGCAGCTTCTCGCCCATGGGCAGCCCCTTCACTGTGTAGCCCGTGCGCTCCGTCAGGTGGTCCGGGTTCGCCACCACCCACTCCTCCGCTGTGATGGCGAGCCGCCCGGCACAAAACGACAGAGATCCCAGCACACCCCCACCCAGCGTTTAGCGTCGCACATGGGTAGTAGTTGTTGTTGTAGTTGTTGGTTTCGTTGCTGCTGCCGATGCCGTTGCCAGGTCCCCCATCGGAAATGAGCATGGAGGCACGGCGTAAATCACAGACATAGCGGGAAGGCAAGCCCAGCCAGGACCGGGCGCTGCCAACAATAGCCCACGCTCTGTGGTCCTCTATTGGGATGTTGGGCCGACTTCAATAGTGTTTTAACGTGGTGTGGTGAAACCTGGGCACCCGGAGAAAAAGCCACGTGTGCGAAGAGAGAGGTAATGCTGAACCCCTGTAAACATGGAAGAAGAAAAAAACACTTGCCGTACTGCCATCATACCCAGGCACGCCAGGAGATGACGACCTCAATGCCCTTGGGCAGGGCATTCACGATATGTGTGTGACCCACCAACCCCTCGCCTCCAATGTGATGGCTCACATGCGTGGTATAGCTACCAGCGCCTGTCTAAATGCAACCACATCTCAAGGTTGCTGTACGGGAGTAGTGGGGAATATTGGTTTTATATAGAGAGGGGCAGTGAGTCATAGGCACGAGACGTGGAAGGTCTGAAGCATGGACTCTAACAGGGGGAGGGGAGTCGACAGCACGGACGGCTTGAAGAGTTCCAGACTACAGGGGCCATCAGAGAAGATTGAGAGGTCTCCCACTGACCAACTGGGGGCATCGACGGAAAGTGTTGCTGGGGAGGCGCTGGGGAGGAGAGGCGCTGGGGAGGAGAGGTGACGGGGAGGAGAGGTGACGGGGAGGAGAGGTGACGGGGAGAAGAGGCGCTGGGGAGGAGAAGTGACGGGGAGGAGAGGTGACGGGGAGGAGAGGCGCTGGGAAGCAGAGGCGCTGGGAAGCAGAGGTGATGGCTCGCGACTGCACAAGCGAAAGGAGCGTCGCTTACTGCCTTCCTTGCGGTACTCGATGCGGTATCCGTCGAGCCCCGCGGCGCCGATGCGCTCCGGCGCGCGCCACTTGAGCGTCACGGTGGTGTCGGTGACGTCCTCCACACTCAGGTTCGTGGGCTCCCCCGTGGGGGCTAAAGGAGAGGGGTTGGGGAAGGTGGTGGAGAGGAGGGGGAGACAAGGTGAATGTCATGGATGCGTCACAGAGAGTTGGCCGGGTAGCTTAGGGGTCAGGTGCACGGAGCCAACACCGATGGGATCCTGGGAAGGAATCTGGGTTTCAGCCGCCCGTGGTTAAATCAGGTTCCCTAGTTATAGCGGAATCAGAATCTTTAAACTGCACGAATCCGATGAGCTATGAAGCTCTTTTTCACAGAAGTCTAGGAGCGAGTTGATCGTCGCGGCCTTGCCACCAATGACTTATGTAGAGACCCACAGACTTGTATAGAGACCAGTAGACTTCTGCAGAGACCCATAGCCTCACATTAACTTAGCTGTGATTAAAATGGGCTCTCAAGAGATGATAGTCTCAGCCTGTTACCAATGACCGCACATACAAACAAGGCCACATTGAACATGGTTGGGCAATACATTGGGTAAATTCCAGATCTGAAAAATACGTGATTTGCCTGCCACGTGACGATCATCACCATCATTATCATTCACATCTCCATCGGAATCTCATGAATCCATCGGCAGCAACAACAAAAATCAAAATCACTATAATCATCTCACAGCTATTATCATCTATGTATCCTATTGTCCATAATGTAGGGTTTGTTTGGGGTAGATCGCGTAAATATAAATGTGTCGTTAAACCCGCCACCACCCGACACAGCCAGTTAGTAAGGTTTGTCACGTGAACAGAACGTGCCAATTCGTTACTAGTACAGTAACACCGGTGTGTTGGAGAGCAAATCCACAACATTTACAATCAGAGTACGACGTTTCGACAGCAATTTAAACTAGCATCATCAGGCTATCCACAGTTCGAAGTTTAAGAACCATTAACCTCAATGCCATCACCATCTAGTCACAACCGTCAATATGTAACGGAGAGCTGAGAAAATCACTAAATACCAACATCCACAGCAAGGTTGTCGTTATTCTTCTTCTTCACAATGCATCTTGCTATTCCGTTATACACACGTCAGCATATTCAACCGTGTTCTATCCACTGCTTGGTGATGGTTTCAACCAGCCCATCACCACCACGTGCGCGAATCGATCTCGCTGCTGCTGCTGCACACGAACCGAGACGATAGCTCCATCTCCGCGGTGGACACGCTCCGGGGAAGCGTTTTCCCTTCCCATTTGCACACCACTCAAGAGTGTGCATACATTGAAGTAGGCGTGGGTTGAAATCAACGACATCCATTTCGTCCAGATGCCAGTGGCACGAAAACGCGCAGCTGATGGAGCAGGGGCCACCGTCTCCCACCCAGGCCACAGTCGTGCGTTTAAACTAAAACTATAAAAAACGTATTTTTTAAAAATAAATTTGTAATATATTTTTACATTAAAAAAAAATCTATTGTGTATCTTTATTTATTTCTAGTTCTTTTAATTTGTATTTTAAAACTATAAACTTTTTATTTTATTTTACCAGGTAAGTCCCACTGAGCAGCTATATAGCTCTTTTTCAGAAGCGACCTGCCCATCGCAAATGATAAGCTCAGCGAAGTGGCTTCTTATCATGACGTGGAAATGTAATGCTGCGAAATGCTCTAAAACGCACCTTGATTCTAAATGTGTAAAGGGAAAAAAGTGGAGGACCTGGAGAAAAATCCACACGACCACAGGGGGAGAGAGAGAGAGAGACACGCAAACTCCAAATATAGAACAGTCAGGATCGGGATCGAACCCACGACCTCCTGCGTACCAGAAGAGGTAGCTAACATCTCGTCACCATGGCCCTGTAATCCAAACTTCTATAAAATAAACCACTAGAGTCTGCGCTCCTTCAACGGAGGAACAGCAAAACCACACGAACTCTGTTCCACGAGAAGCCCTCTCGTCGTGGCGAGCAGACCTCGACATTGCCATTCAAGCTCCCTGAACATATTGCTGCCATCATGTGCAGCAAGCAATTGGAGGCACACAGAGATCCATAGAGAACCCACGTAAATACACAGAGGAGTCATAGGGATACATAGAGACCCGTAGAGATACTTTAAATACAAGCCATACAGTGCGATTGACACACATACAAAGAGGACAGAAAGACAATATAATGTAAAAATACAAATGGAGGCGGTTGCAAACGAGAGAGCAGCTTCAAAACGGGACACATCCGACAGGTCGCGCGACATTTGGTACCCCCCCCCCCCCCATCTTCACAGTGCCGGATTATCCTCGTAGCAAAAGTAGCTACATATATAGTAGCTACTACTACTACATATGTAGTAGTAGCTACTACTACATATGTAGTACTACTACATATGTACTACATATGTAGTAGTAGCTAGTACATATGTAGTAGCTACGGGCCCCGCACTTTCAAGCTATCAATTCCGGTTCAGTGACTCTGCACTTGCTCTATTACTATAGTACTATACCGCCTTCGACTTTTACGAACGACTGGGTGTTTAAGGTTAGCGATTTGTCGTATTATCTGCCTGTATAGCAAATGAAAAAATACAATCACTTTACTATGCAAGTTAAACATTAATGTGTTTTAATATTTAAGTGTTCTTTTTTTTATTTAGGGCCCCTTTATAACATCATGCTTACAGGCCCCGCACTAGCTTAATCCGTCACTGCTTCTTCCCCCCCTTCTCTAGGCTCCCCGCTGTCAGTTTGGCATTCACGGCAATCGCAGTCAACATTCTTGACCCCACCACCACCACCACCCACGGCTCGAGCGGAACACCCTCCAGCCGTACAGATAGCCGAGCCGACGCCGCCGCCGTTGCTTGAAAGCACAGCAGCGGATTCTTGAATCCATCTGTGTGGTGCCTGCAGCCGCGCCACGGAACCCCTGGGCCACACAAGTTCGATTCCCAGCTCACGGATGTGTTTGCACCGGTCCTGGTGGGGCCCCTCCCTGAACCGATCCTGGGGGGGGGCTCCTGGGGCGCCCTCCCCTAGGTATACTCGGCCTTAAATGATAAATGAGTACCTGACGCGGTACTCAATAGGTGCCCGCTAACAGCACTTTCCCCTAAACAATCTGTCGCACGGCTATGCGAGGGATGGGGTGGGATATTTGTCTTTGTAGCTCAGGGTTCGTCAGCAGTTTGCCCGTCCCCAACAAGAATGGAAACTCTCACGAGCGGGACATTGGCCAAACGCCCCAGCGCAGCGAGGCAAAGCGATCGGGCGAGCAACCCTCCTCGAAGTCGTCTCTCCTGGGTACTTAAATGTAGCGTTCGTAGTACGTTGAACTTGTTTCGCACCGTACGTAGCCAACCGTGCTAATCGGAGGCGCGTTGTTATTGTTATTATCATCATCGTGATTTTATTGTGGACCCCACCCCGGGATTGTCCGACACGAGTTTGAAGCTTTGTAAATGAGATATTTAAAAAATATATATACTTTTAAGATCAAGTGCGGAGCGCTCCATTGACGTTGCTGGAGGGATGCACGACATTTAAAAGTGTATTTTAAAGTGTCAGTACTGCATATAGATAACGGCCACTAGCAGTACACAATCGGCAATGTCAATATATAATAGGAAATATTAGTACGCATCAAGGAACATTAGGTACGGGACTTTTCTTCTTTAATGCAGTGTTACTAGAGTGTTTTGAGGAAGTGCTATTGGCAAATGCGTTGTTGTTATTGCTGCTAATTGTCCACCGTTGCCAACGGAGCAGCGGCACCGTCATCATCACCAAATAAATTAGTTTAATTAAAAGCTACTCGTAAACATGTTCACTGGAGAGACACAAGCGCAGGCACGTATAGACAGAGACAAAAGATAGAGAGACACAGATACTGTATAGGAATAGTATACCTGTCAACTCCTTATCAGTGCCCTACCTTATTACAGTCCAACGTGCACACGTGCGTTCTGATTAGCGTTTAAGATTTTGGTTTTATTTTAAGCGATGACAAACCTGTCAACCTCTTATCACTGCTGCCTACCTTATTACAGACCAACTCAGACCGTATTGGTCACCCCGTGCCCCTTATAAATCTCAACGTTCATCCCTACAAAGTCCCATCACAAGGGAGAAACACAAACAAAATAGACAAAACATCTTTTTTTTTGCCCGTATTGAAACGGTTGTGCGCCGTATGGGCCTGAAAAACGCAATTCCCCTGTACAATAACAAGGGGTGAACCCTTATGGGTTTGACAGCTATTGTATGCACGCACGCACACAAAGATCCCCCGTATTGACTTCACAGACTGTCGGGGCAAGCACTGACGGCCAGGCCGGCACGGCACACGAGAGGGTGATGTAGCCGGCACCACGCCCGGCCGCCTTTCCCCTCCTTAGCGGCGATGTTTGCACACCGCACCAGGTACTCGTTTGAGGCCGAGTCGACCTAGGGGAGACCCAGGTACCGGTTCAGAAAAAAAAAAATCGCCACCGGTCGGCGTTGGCCGTGAGCGGGCATCCAGCCCGGGTCGCCGGGTTCGTAGCGCGGCAAATCGGGCGACCGCTTGCACCACCGCTCCCCAACACCAACGCGCGCACACGTGCGACCGCCACACAAATCTCCAAAACTCTGTCTTCCTCTCTCTCTCTTTCTCTCTCCCCCCCCCCTACGTTTCGCTCGGAGCGGCGTCGTTGGCCCCCTGGAGCCGTCGATTCCATCGGCAAGGGAGTCGCCACCGACGTCAGACACCTTCAGATCGTTTCCATAATCACCATCATCATCGCCACCGCCGTCTCCTCCTCCTCCCCCATTGCTCGTGCCATTGACGACGCTACACTCCACCACAACGACCGCCGCAGGCGCCGCCTCTCCGTTCCCTTGGGTCGGCACATCCAGCGGGCTCTCTCCGCCGTCCACCGTCAGCGATGCGGTACCGGGCTGCGGTGCCGATTCGCTGTCTGGCGGAGTCTGCTTCACCATGGCGAGCGAGGCGGTGGTGGGCTAGGGTGGTGGGCTAGGGTGGTGGACTAGGGTGGTGGGCGAGGGTGGTGGGTTAGGGTGGTGGGCGAGGGTGGTGGGCGAGGGTGGTGGGTTAGGGTGGTGGGCTAGGGTGGTGGGCTAGGGTGGTGGACTAGGGTGGTGGGCGAGGGTGGTGGGCGAGGGTGGTGGGTTAGGGTGGTGGGCGAGGGTGGTGGGCTAGGGTGGTGGGCGAGGGTGGTGGGCGAGGGTGGTGGGCTAGGGTGGTGGGCTAGGGTGGTGGGTTAGGGTGGTGGGCTATGGTGGTGGGTTAGGGTGGTGGGCTAGGGTGGTGGGCTAGGGTGGTGGGTTAGGGTGGTGGGCTAGGGTGGTGGGCTAGGGTGGTGGGTTAGGGTGGTGGGCTAGGGTGGTGGGCTAGGGTGGTGGGTTAGGGTGGTGGGCTATGGTGGTGGGCTATGGTGGTGGGCTAGAGTGGTGGGCTATGGTGGTGGGTTAGGGTGGTGGGCTAGGGTGGTGGGCTAGGGTGGTGGCGGCTGGAGGTGCCGAGGAGGTGCGGGAGACGCCCACAGGGACGAGTGTCCCCCGTATTTATAGAGGCGCGGAGAGAGACAAGGGCTGGGACTCTTAGACACTCCCACCATCATCACTAACCGGCATCGTCAACATCACCCACCCATCACCCCACCACCCTCCCATCACCAGAATCATCATCAACCCCCACCATCACCTCTCACCATCACCAGAATCTTTATTCCGACCATCACGAATAGCATCATCACTCCAAACGTCACCAATCATCACTCACTCACTGAAATACTTCACACATTCAGGCAAACACGTATCCAAGTACACAGTCACCGAAGGATGTATATTCAGTGATACAACTGCAAACCAAACCATTTACACATTCAACCCCAGTAACCCAACCACCGACCCATTCAACCACTCACTCATTCACCCTCTCACTCCTCGAACCACGCAGCCACTCAAAATACTCCTTCACCCACCCACCCACTCCTCAAAGCACCCGCTCACCCACTCTGTCTGGCAACTGAACACCACCACCTCACCTCCCCTATGCCACTCACTCCCCATGGCACTCACCACCCCCCCCATAACACTCACCCCCCCCATGGCACTCACCCTCCCCCCCCATGGCACTCACCCCCCCCCCCCCCATTGACACTCCCCCCCCATAACACTCACCCACCCATGACACTCACCCCCCTATAACACTCACCCCTCCCATAACACTCACCCACCCATGACACTCACCCCCCTATAACACTCACCCTCCCATAACACCCCCCCCACGCCACTCACCCCCCCACGCCACTCACCCCCCCACGCCGCTCACCCCCCCACGCCACTCACCCCCCCCCACGCCACTCACCCCGGGTATTTCTCGCCTCCTAATTCGCCGCTGCTCTCTCCCGAAAGCGATCCTCCTCAAGAATGCGGCCACTCTCAAAATCCTCGTTCCGGAGTCCGCGTGACACCCGCAAAGTGCAGGCACAGCGGCCCTGGGGGGGGGGGGGCTCGTGCCCCCCCCCCTCTCCTCCTCCTCCCCCCCCCCCCCCCACTAATGAACAGAATTGTCCCTCCCCACATTCGATGGCAACTCCTCGACGTGACAAAGGTGGACACTGAGTGACCAATCGTAACAGGTGGACAATGATGGTGGGTGGACATTACTAGTGAGTGACCAATGGTAACAGGTGGACAATGATGGTGGGTGGACATTACTAGTGAGTGACCAATGGTAACAGGTGGACAATGATGGTGGGTGGACATTACTAGTGAGTGACCAATGGTAATAGGTGGACAATGATGGTGGGTGGACCTTACTAGTGAGTTACCAATGGTAACAGGTGGACAATGATGGTGGGTGGACATTACTAGTGAGTGATCAATGGTAATAGGTGGACAATGATGGTGGGTGGACCTTACTAGTGAGTGACCAATGGTAATAGGTGGACAATGATGGTGGGTGGACCTTACTAGTGAGTGACCAATGGTAATAGGTGGACAATGATGGTGGGTGGACATTACTAGTGAGTGATCAATGGTAATAGGTGGACAATGATGGTGGGTGGACCTTACTAGTGAGTGACCAATGGTAATAGGTGGACAATGATGGTGGGTGGACCTTACTAGTGAGTGATCAATGGTAACAGGTGGACTATGATGGCGGGTGGACCTTACTAGTGAGTGACCAATGGTAATAGGTGGACAATGATGGTGGGTGGAGCTTACTAGTGAGTGACCAATGGTAACAGGTGGACAATGATGGTGGGTGGACCTTACTAGTGAGTGACCAATGGTAATAGGTGGACAATGATGGTGGGTGGAGCTTACTAGTGAGTGACCAATGGTAACAGGTGGACAATGATGGTGGGTGGACATTACTAGTGAGTGACCAATGGTAACAGGTGGACAATGATGGCGGGTGGACATTACTAGTGTGTGACCAATCGTAACAGTTGGACAATGATGGCGGGTGGACCTTACTAGTGAGTGACCAATGGTAATAGGTGGACAATGATGGTGGGTGGATCTTACTAGTGAGTGACCAATGGTAACAGGTGGACAATGATGGTGGGTGGACATTACTAGTGAGTGACCAATGGTAACAGGTGGACAATGATGGCGGGTGGACATTACTAGTGTGTGACCAATGGTAACAGGTGGACAATGATGGCGGGTGGACATTACTAGTGTGTGACCAATCGTAACAGTTGGACAATGATGGCGGGTGGACCTTACTAGTGAGTGACCAATGGTAATAGGTGGACAATGATGGTGGGTGGATCTTACTAGTGAGTGACCAATGGTAACAGGTGGACAATGATGGTGGGTGGACATTACTAGTGAGTGACCAATGGTAACAGGTGGACAATGATGGCGGGTGGACATTACTAGTGTGTGACCAATCGTAACAGTTGGACAATGATGGCGGGTCGACCTTACTAGTGAGTGACCAATGGTAATAGGTGGACAATGGATCTGATACCCAGGATCTTATCGTTGCCGGCTCAGCATCTAGTGGCCTGTGAACCACCTGCCCATCCATATAAATTTATTTTTTAATTTTAAACAAGTTTCTAACGTGCAAAACCGCCTAACTTGGCAAGCAAATGCCAGACGGAAATGAAATTAAAATGTTCGCAGCAACGACGGCAGTTCTATTGTAAACGTACAAATACACACCGTGCCATTAAGACAAATTGTGAATCTGTCTGCTCCCGTATTCAAACTAACTCCATGTCAGCCAGGTCGCCGTTGAAACAGGGGCGATGCTGCATGCGTCCACGCGTTATGTCGTCCCGTCGGTTAAATAAAGGACGTTGCCCCGGCTGCTGCGCCGCTACCGCCAATAAAATGCCCGCGAGTAATCGTTCGCAGGGACGCAGCTGGGTACGCGAGGAGTCATCGACCTAAACACAGTGCATCGTTGCGCTCATCATCCAAAGAATCGTGTCGTGGGCGTACCAATCTGGGGGACGCATATGCGACGTAATAGCCGCTCGATGGCTCGCTAAGAGTCGTGTTTTTTTGTGCTGTGCCCCATGCTCCCACCCACCACCCCCCCCACCCCCAGACCCAGAACATCCAGCTACCCCGGTAGATCCATAATAGAAATGGTTGGGGTTAGATTGCGTAAATATTAAAGTGTCGTTAACCCCGCCGCCGTCCGACACAGCCAATTAGTAAGGTTTGTCACGTAAAGAAAACGCGCCAATTCGTTACTTGTACAACAACACCGGTGTGTTGGAGAATAAACCCACAACATTTACAATCCGAGTCACGACCAGCATCATCGGGCGACAACTCTGGATGTTTTGTTTACGTGACAAACCTTACTAATTGGCTGCGTCGGGTGGCGGCGGGGTTAACGACACGTTTATATTCACGCGATATAACCCAATCATCTCTATTGTGGATAATGTTGGTCGCGAAAACCTCCGTGTGACATGCACAGGTGGTTATCGTGAATATTAATGAGCGAACCCGGTTAACTCTCACCGATGGGCACGAAGGGTCGGCTCGGTGAGCTGGGCAGCGACATTCCGATGGCGTTGACGGCGTAGATGCGCATCTCGTACGAGACGCCCTCGATCATCCTCTTTGCCTCGAACTCCAGCTCCTTCCACAGGTCAAAGTTCAGCCTCATCCAGCGGTAGCTCTGCTTCTTCTTGCGCTCGATCACGTAGCCTGAGGGCGGGGCGGGGGGTCGATGGGAGAGACACGTGAGGTCACGAAGGGGGGGCCCATTGAGACGTCATCATCATCATCACCGCTGTGTCGAGTCAGCACCCTGTGACCTCACAATCCAACCTGTGACCTCACAATCCAACCTGTGACCTCACAATCCAACCTGTGACCTCACAATCCAACCTGTGACCTCACAATCCAACCTGTGACCTCACAATCCAAACTGTGACCTCACAATGCAACCTGTGACCTCACAATCCAACCTGTGACCTCACAATCCAACCTGTGACCTCACAATCCGGCGCCAATGGTTGGCGCAGACATTACAAGCCAAACATCCTTAAACTGCTTATGACTTCGCTGGCTCTTCTTCAGCAATACTTAGCCATGTAACCGATGCCGGTAGACGGTGTACTATGTCATGCATTGAAATCCTAAACTGGCTTCGACTTGAATGAGTCTCATCAGCAAGCCGTGATATGACAAACTGACGCCACCGGTTGGTGTTGACATCACAAATAATGGAGCCATTTAACTGATTTCAACTTCGCCACACCTCACCAGCAGAACGTGGCCACATAAGCCAATGCATCACACAAGCAACGAAGACTTGAACTGGTTTCCACGTCAGTGGGTCCCATCAGCGAGCCACCGCTACCCGTCGGCGTGGCCATTCCAGGCTTGCAAACCCTCGAACTGGTTTCTACTTAACTGGGCCTCATCGGCAGCACTTAGCCACGTAAGCAATGCGACCGTTCCCCGTAGCGATGGAGAGCTTCGTCCGAGGGAGACGGCCGCGGGCGTCGCCGCGTCCCGACGCGCAAACTCCCGGTGGCGAACTGGGCTCGCGTCGCTCGGCGGTCGACGTTCGAAGCAGGGACCGCGACCCTCAAAGGAATGGCGTCACCCACGATCAAACAAATCGCTCGAGACGCCCGGTGTACGGCAGCAAGAGCGGTTTACGCGAAACGCCGTCGCCGCGAGAGGTCACACGTTGGGCGTCCTTCACCCGACTATCCGTGGCGAGCGAATGAGTGAATGGAGGGGCAATGCCAGCGTCCGGGCGGGCGGGCGGCAGGGCGGACCACGCGGCCGCTCTTACCCAGGATGGGCAGACCCCCGTCGTACGCGGGGGGTGACCACTTGGCGAAGCACCAGTCCTCGCCCACTTCTCCGATGGTGGGAGCCATGGGGGGGTCCGGCACGTCTGAGGATGAGAGACGAGGAGGTTCAGTCCGCGGTTGGGGGTCAATGCTCATGAGTGGACACCGACTGTTAGAGATTTGACAATGCTCATGATTCTACGACGATAGGCAATGCCAGCAAGCGAACAATCCTAGCTAGAGAACAATGCCAACAGGTGGACAACGCTGCCAGGTGGACGATACTAGTGAGTGACCAATTGCAATTGGTGGACAATGCTGGCGGGTGGACAATGCTCATTGCTGGGTGGACACTGCGGGGTTGCTGCGGTCACTCACCCACGACCTTGATGTGCATGTCGGCCTTGTCCTCTCCGGCCTCGTTCTGCACGGTGATGGAGTACTCGCCCTGGTCCCCACGCTCCGCGCAGTCGATCACGAACGTGCTGTGGTCCGGGAACGACTCGACGCGCACGCGGCCCGCGATCGTGGAGATGCCCTGTGAGAGAAGTGTCGTGGGGACGGTGGAGGTCAGTCACTTCCGCGTCGATACAGGAGCTGGAATTGGAGGTGAGTCCGACGCAGAGTCACTTTTGTCAAGGCAAATCGAGGGATTTTTACGAAGCTTCACAAACAACAACAACAACAACGATGACAACAACATGCATTTTGTATCGCATTCACAATGTCACCAACGTCTCGGAGCGCTGGCGTTTTCGTTTTTAGCTAGCCGGGGAGACCCCATGATGGCAGCTGTCCCCTTGCGGCATATGGTGGACGCAGCGCTGGCCAGCAGGTGAGCATTAGGCTGGCAGTCGGGTTACTGTTAAGAAGCTGAAAAATTAATATTTGATGATGATAACAACTTTTATTATGATGACCACTACTATTATGAGAATGACATTAACACTGATGATGATCACAGTGATGATGATGATGATATTGGCTGATACTGAGATTGCTTTAATATAATTTAGACATGATCATTATTGTAACTTCGGCAATGATGATGCCGGCGATGATGTTGCTGAGGATGACATCGATCACAGCGACAAAGATCCCCCGCATAGTCTTAACAGACCGTTGGGCAAGTGCTGTTAGCGAGTAGCACCTACTGTATTGAAGGCCGGTACGACACACGAGGGGATGGGGTGGCCAGCAATGGCCGCCTTTGTCTCCCTAGCGGCGATGTTTGCACACTGCACCGGGCACTCATTTGAGGCTGAGTCGATCTAGGGGAGGCCCATGGCCGGTTCAAATAATCCGTCACTGGTGTTGGTGGCCGTGAACGGGAATCGACACTCGGGGCGTTGGGTTCGTAGCGCAGCGCGCTAACCGCTGCACCCCCGCTCCCCCGGGTAGATACACGTGCACGCACGCACACGCACGCACACGCACGCACACGCACGCACACACGCACGCACACACGCGCGCGTGCACCTGGTCTCCTCTCTGCCAGATGACTTTGGGCGCAGGGTCCCCGGTGATGGGCACGTCCAGGCGCAGCTTGTTCCCGGCCACCACCACGATGGTATTCTGCTGCATCTTGTCGCTCGTCTCCAGGTGGATCTTGGGCGGTTCTGATGAGAGAGTTCGCGTACCCCCCAAACGCAAGATTATGGTCGCGAAACGTCTCCACATTGCCATGGCGCGGGAAGGGGGGTGGGGGGGGGTCCGGTCTGCCCAGAGCAACGGTCGCCGTTGAGGTGGTTTAAAATGGGACCAATTTTCTACGCCCTGGGGATATAAATGTGCTCGCTGCATGCACCAACCTCGGGTCGGGAATGTGAACTGATATGTTCGCCACTTGCGAGTCAACTGGACGTCCGCGAACAAGAGCTTTGTAGCTCATCGGATTCCCCCAGTATAAATAAATATTCGGATTCTGGATTGTTACCACTGAACTCCACAACCTGGCCAGGCACTGTCTCGAAATATAATATAAAAAAACCACTATGAAAATTAGAATAATTTACAGCTGTGTGTTTATCCACTGCTGGATGAGGGGTTCCTCACCCCGTGCGGGTTTTGGGAGTTATTTGATTAAACTTCACGACGTTGGTGAGTGCCGGCTGACACAAGAGTTGTCTAGGACCATTTCAGATGTCACTCGCCACCGATGTTAGCCGTGGCTGGGAATCGAACTTGGGTCGCCCGGGGTTCAGGGCATGGCGAGGGAACCACTGCAACATCGCTCCACTCACCGATCTTACACTCAGTACAGGTAACATCCAATCAGAGCACAGGACAAGCCAGTGGTAATAATTACACTCACAGTACAGGTGACATCCAATCAGAGCACAGGACAAGCCAGTGGTAATAATTACACTCACAGTACAGGTGACATCCAATCAGAGCACAGGACAAGCCAGTGGTAATAATTACACTCACAGTACAGGTGACATCCAATCAGAGTACAGGACAAGCCAGTGGTAATAATTACACTCACAGTACAGGTGACATCCAATCAGAGCACAGGACAAGCCAGTGGTAGTAATTACACTCACAGTACAGGTGACATCCAATCAGATTACAGGACAAGCCAGTGGTAATAATTACACTCACAGTACAGGTGACATCCAATCAGAGCACAGGACAAGCCAGTGGTAATAATTACACTCACAGTACAGGTGACATCCAATCAGAGCACAGGACAAGCCAGTGGTAATAATTACACTCACAGTACAGGTGACATCCAATCAGAGCACAGGACAAGCCAGTGGTAGTAATTACACTCACAGTACAGGTGACATCCAATCAGAGTACAGGACAAGCCAGTGGTAATAATTACACTCACAGTACAGGTGACATCCAATCAAAGCACAGGACAAGCCAGTGGTAATAATTACACTCACAGTACAAGTGACATCCAATCAGAGCACAGGAAAAGCCAGTGGTAATAATTACACTCACAGTACAGGTGACATCCAATCAGAGCACAGGACAAGCCAGTGGTAATAATTAAACTCACAGTACAGGTGACATCCAATCAGAGCACAGGACAAGCCAGTGGTAGTAATTACACTCACAGTACAGGTGACATCCAATCAGAGCACAGGACATGCCAGTGGTAGTAATTACACTCACAGTACAGGTAACATCCAATCAGAGCACAGGACAAAGCCGATGAACACCAATAGGCTTCAAGCTGGATTTAAAATGTGCCGCTGGGTCACGATTCCTGGCAGTAGGAAGGGAGTGGGGGTCAGCTTTCGCGGTCCTGCACAGTGCAGAGCAGCAGACCGCACGGAGGTGCGAGCGTGGCCCAGTTCTCACCTTGTCTTGGCACGTAGTCAATCTTCACCTCTGAAAGAAATAAAAAAAAATCAAATCAGACATCGTTTTGGAGATGTTTTTTGTTGTTGTAAACAATCGCGTCATTGTCTCTACCCCACGTTTTTACATCAGCCATGTCAATAGCAGCATCTTACTTGCTGTGCCGTCCCGTGCTCTCTGGGACCATCTCAATGTTCAGCTAGTGGAGTTTGGATTCTTAACGCATCAAAACTATAAAAAAACATGAGAACAAGTTTTCCCCTTTTTTCCCTGGCAACAAAACAGCTGTGTTAAGATGTTAAAACACCAAACTGAAACCTTTTACAAGGAATCATGTCTGCATTAACCACAATACTTGTGGTCAGAATGCAAACAAAAAAACATACTCTGATAATGATGCATTGTCCTTGGAACTGATTTGTCCACACCAGAGACAGCTTTCTTTTGAGCCTCGTCTCAAAACGGTGTCAGACCAGAGGACGCCAAAAGTTGTCCACTCACAGAGCCGCCACCGGCTGCATCCGTCCCCTACGGACCTCTGTCGGCTCTCTCGCCCCGCGTCGAGAGACTCCTCATGGTGAGCACGCTGCGCGTGTGGAGTGTGCGAGCCGGAGAGTCGGCTTGCTATGGAGGCCGAGCCCTGTTAGCCCGAACCACTCACCCACCCACCTATCCACCCACCCACCTACCCACCCACCCACCTACCCACCCACCCACCTACCCACCCACCCACCTACCCACCCACCCACCTACCCACCCACCCACCTACCCACCCACCCACCTACCCACCCACCCACCCACCTACCCACCCACCCACCCATCTACCCACCCACCCACCTACCCACCCACCCACCTACCCACCCACCTATCCACCCACCCACCTACCCACCCACCTACCACCTCCTCCTACGCTTTGCTATAATGAGGCAATCGGAGTCGTGCGAGCTCTTGAAGCCCTGTCTCGAAAGCTCACCCTGCAGGTTCTCTCTTCGTTTCCTCGTTTCCATCAACACGGCGCGGCATTTGGAACCTCCGGTTTGAAATGCGCCACTTTTACAAACGAAAATTACGATCGTTATTTTGTTGTTTGTTGTTGTCGTTGTTGTGCTCGTCGCTCAACCCTTGCCTGCTGCTGCCGCCACATCATCAACAATGACGACGACGACTCATCCGACCTCGTGGCGAGGACCATCTCCGCGAGGCCGCGGGGTTGGCGAGTTTGCACGGCGCGCGGGGCGGCCGGCGATGCTCACCCAGCATGTTGAGCTTGGCGGAGAGCGAGATGGCGTAGCCGTCCGGCACGAATGTGTAGTCGCCCTCGTCCGCCTCCGTCACGTTGTCGATCGTGAGCTTGTGAATCCTGTGGAGGGGGAGGCGCGCAGGGAAAAGCGACGGCGCGGCCGTGACCGCTTGGGACGGCGCTCCCGATGGGGGGGGGGGGGGGGCCGGATACTGGCAACGATGATTACGATGATGATGATGATGATCATGATCATGATAATAATAGTCATCGAGAGTGATGGTGAAGATGATGATGACAAAGATGATGATGACGCTCCGGGTAACGACGATGATTGTAGTCCTCCTGACCAGACAGGAAGTGCAATGACGAAACAGTGGAGATGGCGATGATGATGACGACGACGATGATGACGACGATGACAATCCTCAAGACGATAATGGTGAGGACACTGATGACTGTTGATGCAATGATGATCTTACAATCAAGCACGACCTTGATTTGCCGTTAAGATGATATCAATGACAGTGGAAATAATAAAAAGTGCTCAACGATTGATTCCTAGATTCGTGATGATGATAAGGACAACAATGGTTGCTATGATGATGACGCTCAATACAACAATGGTTGTTATGATGATGACAACAATAATGATGATCACGGTCGCTTTCTCACACGTGGCAAGATGATGATGACGACAAGGGTGAAGACAATGACGACGACAATGATTATGACGACAAGGGTGAAGAGAACGACGACGATGATGATGATGATGACGACGATGATAACGACGACATCGACGGTGGCACCCCACGCCGACGTGACCACGCCCACCTGCCCACGTGCGTGGCGTTGATGCGCGGGGTGGGCATCACCTCCACACCGTTCTTGAACCACCGACCCGTCACCTTCTCGTCGGACACCTCGCACTTGAACACGGCCTGCTCCTGGGCCTTGATGGTCAGATCCGCGATGCTCTGCAGCACTTCCAGCTGCTTCTCTGCGCCGTTCAACAGCAGCAGCAGCGGCAGCAGCAGCAGCAGCAAACGACAACGCAAGCACACGGCTCACATTTGCGACGCGCCCATACGTAACCAGCGTCTCGGAGCGGCAGACGCACACAGGCGAAGAACGGGAGGGAAGCGGGAGGGTTCACACAGCGTGCAGGCGGCGGTTGGACAGTGGAGGAGGAGCAGCAGCACTTGTGTCCGTACGTCTGCACGTTCATCCCTCCATCGCTCTGTCCGCTCGTGCCTCCATCCATTCGTCGATTCCTCTATCCGTCCATCCGTCCGACCGTCTGTGTGTCCCATCCATTCATCCATCAGTCCGTCCGTCCATCCACCCGTCTGTCAATTTGTCTATCCATCCATCTGTATGTCCGTCCCTTTTGTATTTGTCCATCCCTCCGTCTGTTCGTTCATCCCCTTCCATCCGTCTGTCCCTCCATTCGTCCATCCGTCCGTCCATCCATCCATCCATCTGTAGTGACTTTCCCTCCCATCCGTCCATCCGTCCGTCTGTCCGTTGGTGTGCGTGCGTGTGTCTGTCGGTATGCGTGCACGCACGTACGAGTGTGCGTGCACGCACGTACGAGTGTGCGTGCACGCGCTTGCGTATGTGCGAGTGTGCGAGCGCGCGTGCGATGTCCGTACCCTCGACGTGCAGCTCGGCCATGGACTCGCCGCCGTTTGTGCGCACGCTGTAGCGGCCCGCGTCCTCCTTGGTGGCGTCGTTGATGATGAGGCAGTGGCGAGTGCCGTCCTTCTTGAAGCGATACTTGAACGTCTCCTCGCGGGTCAGCTCCACGCCGTCCTTCATCCTGCGGGGACACGGAGACGTTACTATGTCCGGGATCGCGTACATTCCCTCGCACGCGCTCAGTCGGAGGTCATCTAAGTTTTTGCTTCGTGCTCGTTCATCATCGGCCATCGGCCACGGTCTATCCAGCAGTGGATAGACGATGGCCGATGGTCTCCCCAAGCCGCTGTCCTTCCTCATGTCCCTGTGATACCGAAGTTGATCTCGTTTCTGCACGTAATAATAATATTGTACAACAATCATTATTCTTAGAATAATCTCATCGCTGGCTCCATACAAATGAATTGTTGAGTGAACATCTGAGGCGGGTGGAAATCTTCTGTGTCTGTGTGTTGGGGCAATTGTGGGGAGAGCTGGGGCTGACATTTAATTTTCTCAGGGGGTAACACATATATATGCTGTATTATGAATGACAAACGTTAAATGATCAATTAACATCCAAAAATGAGAGAGGGCAGTGTTGCCACTTGACAAGGGGCCGGCTTCACGGGTGCGCGGTGACCTCGCTCGCTGTGTCTCGCGCCGGGTCCTAGGAGAGCGTTGACCGTTACCGGCTGAGGGATGCGAGCCGGGGTACGTATGTGTGTATGTATGTTGAACTTCTTTTGCACCGTACGTAGCCAACCGCGCTAATTGGAAGCGCGGGGGAAGGACAGCAAACTAACACTTAAAAAGCTGTTCTCAAGAAATGAGTTTCCAATCCATTTGATTTGAAAATGCACAGCTCCAGCGGATTCATAATATCGGACGGAAGAGCACTCCAGACGGCCATAGAAGCGCATCCAAAAGCGCCACGCGATGCGGTGACCATTGTCTTTGCTCGGCGGCTCGCCAAAAGCCGCTGCTGCTGCTGCGAGGATGATCGGACCGGAGTTCGCGTCATGATGGTTTATGCTGCTTGAAGAGATCAGCAGCAAGTCTTTACTGACTCTGATGTTTCCATCCTACCTGCCGATGTCAGCTGTTATTTCCGACTCTCTGTGTGTCTCTCTCTCTCTGTGCCTCTTGGATTGCACTCTCATGCTCACATGTCCTTTGGATTGCACTATCATGATCACATGCCCTTTGGATTGCACTCTCATGTTCACATGTCTTTTGGATTGCACTCTCATGCTCACATGCCCTTTGGATTGCACTCTCATGCTCACATGTCCTTTGGATTGCACTCTCATGCTCACATGTCCTTTGGATTGCACTCTCATGCTCACATGTCCTTTGGATTGCACTCTCATGCTCACATGTCCTTTGGATTGCACTCTCATGCTCACACGTACTTTGGATTGCACTCTCATACTAGGCAAGTCACCGATGCGGTGGCATACTAAGCTCGTGCATTGACACGCTAATCTCTCACAATACAATAGCCACTTCCACAGCCTCAGGGAGACCATCTCTAGCCCTGCCCTCTTACCCTGAGGCTGCACCCATCTCAGGCCTACATAAGACCTTGTTTCAGTCGCTTTCTCTCTCTCACCTGAAGACGGTCGCTTGTGTTGCGATCGAAACGTCGAGATCTATTATTTTTTCCACCTACCTGACTTTACCGTAAGAACCAAACAGTATCAGCAGCGAGATATTGTGGTTCATTTGTGGCTAGCGCTTTGCGTGCAACGAGCTCGACCGTACCGTGTCTTCGTTCAGCAACTGGAACCCATTGCATCTCAGCGAGCACCCGCAAGTGGGGTGATCGAGATTACCTCTGTAGAGGGGACCAGGTGATCCCCACTACCCCGATCGCTGAATACCCCAGGTAAAGTTCTGTATCCTTAGAAGCTCCACCCCGGTTGCTGCTCAATGTCCCCCGCTATGCGGGAACCAAACTCGGTTAAAACTCCTTCCGCGCGGCGTGGCACAGCTCCTAATCTCTGCAGCATCCGAGCGAATATGCTTGCGATCAAAACATGACTATCTTCGTCCGACTTTACATCGCTTTTTGGACCTGAGATTTCCTTTCGAGTGTATGCGCGATCGATCGATCACTCTGCTTTGCAACATTTGATCATTTTGTTGTTGTTGGTGGTGTTTGCTATACGTGACGCCATCTATTCGCCTTGTATCCTTTGTGCCGGGCTGTAACAGCACCGTGCCGCTGCACGACCTTGCCAGTCGGAACGTGACCGTCTACACCGATGTTTTTTGAATAATTTTCGTGGTTTTTTTTGGGGGGGGGGAGATGGGGGAGTGGGGGGGGGCTGTAGGAACCAGGATTCTATGACGTAACCAGGTCCCCCAATCGGAAATGAGCATTAATTTCCCAAAGGGTGGCAAAATAAAACCTAAAAACCAGAGCCAGTGAAGCGCGGGGTGACGCTGCGTGCACGCGCGACACTACCATTTGACGGCAGCTCCCTCCTCGGACACCTCGCACATCATCTCCACGCGCTCCCCGACCAGCACGGAGTGGTCGTCGAGGCCCTGCGTGATGACCACAGGCGGCTCTGCCGACGACACGCGGGGGAGATCGTCACAACACGTGGGGGAGATCGTCACAACACGTGGCGGAGATCGTCACAACACGTAGGGGAGATCGTCACAATACGTGGGGGAGATCGTTACAACACGCGGGGGAAATCGTCATAACACGTGGGGAGATCGTCACAACACGTGGTGGAGATCGTCACAACACGTGGGGGAGATCGTCACAACACGTAGGGGAGACCGTCACAACACGTAGGGGAGATCGTTACAACACGCGGGGGAAATCGTCATAACACGTGGGGAGATCGTCACAACACGTAGGGGAGATCGTCACAACACGTGAGGAGATCGTCACAACACGTAGGGGAGATCGTTACAACACGTAGGGGAGATCGTCACAACACGTGGGGGAGATCGTTACAACACGCGGGGGAGATCGTCACAACACGTGGTGGAGATCGTCACAACACGTGGGGGAGATCGTCACAACACGTGGTGGAGATCGTCACAACACGTGGGGGAGATCGTCACAACACGTAGGGGAGATCGTCACAACACGTGGTGGAGATCGTCACAACACGTGGGGGAGATCGTCACAACACGTAGGGGAGATCGTTACAACACGTGGTGGAGATCGTCACAACACGTAGGGGAGATCGTCACAACACGCGGGGGAGATCGTCACAACACGTGGTGGAGATCGTCACAACACGTAGGGGAGATCGTCACAACACGTGGTGGAGATCGTCACAACACGTGGGGGAGATCGTCACAACACGTAGGGGAGATCGTTACAACACGCGGGGGAGATCGTCACAACACGTGGGGGGAGATCGTCACAACACGTAGGGGAGATCGTCACAACACGTAGGGGAGATCGTTACAACACGTGGTGGAGATCGTCACAACACGTGGGGGAGATCGTCACAACACGTAGGGGAGATCGTTACAACACGTAGGGGAGATCGTCACAACACGTGGTGGAGATCGTCACAACACGTGGGGGAGATCGTCACAACACGTAGGGGAGATCGTCACAACACGTGGTGGAGATCGTCACAACACGTGGGGGAGATCGTCACAACACGTAGGGGAGATCGTCACAACACGTAGGGGAGATCGTCACAACACGTAGGGGAGATCGTCACAATACGTGGGGGAGATCGTTACAACACGCGGGGGAAATCGTCACAACACGTGGGGAGATCGTCACAACACGTGGGGGGAGATCGTCACAACACGTAGGGGAGATCGTCACAACACGTGGTGGAGATCGTCACAACACGTAGGGGAGATCGTCACAACACGTGGGGAGATCGTCACAACACGCGGGGGAGATCGTCACAACACGTAGGGGAGATCGTCACAACACGTAGGGGAGATCGTCACAACACGTAGGGGAGATCGTCACAACACGTGGTGGAGATCGTCACAACACGTGGGGGAGATCGTCACAACACGTAGGGGAGATCGTCACAACACGTAGGGGAGATCGTCACAACACGTAGGGGAGATCGTCACAATACGTGGGGGAGATCGTTACAACACGCGGGGGAAATCGTCACAACACGTGGGGAGATCGTCACAACACGTGGGGGGAGATCGTCACAACACGTAGGGGAGATCGTCACAACACGTGGTGGAGATCGTCACAACACGTGGGGGAGATCGTCACAACACGTAGGGGAGATCGTTACAACACGTGGTGGAGATCGTCACAACACGTGGGGGAGATCGTCACAACACGTAGGGGAGATCGTTACAACACGCGGGGGAGATCGTCACAACACGCGGGGGAGATCGTCACAACACGTGGGGAGATCGTCACAACACGTAGGGGAGATCGTCACAACACGTGGTGGAGATCGTCACAACACGTGGTGGAGATCGTCACAACACGTGGGGGAGATCGTCACAACACGTGGTGGAGATCGTCACAACACGCGGGGGAGATCGTCACAACACGTGGGGGAGATCGTCACAACACGTGGGGGAGATCGTCACAACACGCGGGGGGAGATCGTCACAACGCGCGGTGGCGATCGTGTGTTAAATTATGACCTTGTATTTATACAGAGAGATCACGGCTTAGCTCAAGGCGTGATCTCTCTCCACAACAACAGAGTTTTAAAAAGCGGCAACGAAAGCAGAGCGGTTGAGACGGCGAGAGCGGTGCAAGTGACCGTACCAGAGGGCACGGGGGGGGGGGGGTCGCGAAAGGGCGGCGGGGGAGGGACGGTAAGGAGTGGAGGGACGCGGGGAGAGGGAGAGCAACGGGGAGAGTGGCGGGGTCGAGGAGAGGCGAGCGAGGCTCCACGATTGTGGCCGCTGGCACCTTTGACGAAGAGCTCTGTGCTGCACTTCTCGTCGCCCACCATCACCTGGTAGGCGGCGTCGTCGGCCAAGTTGCAGTTCTTGATGACGAGGATGCGTTGGTTGCCCTTGGTCTCCATGATGTACCTGGCTCGGCAGAATGGGCAGCAGCAGCAGCAGCAGCACTTAGAGACAGCGGCGTAGCGTGCAACGAGTGCGTGGGAGTCGACTCCTGGGCCTCCCCCTAGGTGGACTCAGCCTCAAATGAGTACCCGGTGCGGTACGTAAAAGGGCGGTGTTGTTGAACAGCCACTTCCTTGCGTGCCGTGCCGGCCTTCGTAGGTGCTCGCTAACAGCGCATACCCCAACAGTATGTCCAGGCTACACGGGGGATCTTTGTTTGTGTATACAGTATGTGTGTGCTTATAAGCAGTCTGAGTTCCCCATCTGTTTAGGAATATCGTGAAGGACGATGTTTCTCAATAATTATCATTATCATAATCATCCATAACTAACCATGATGGTCATCATCATCCATATTGTTCTTCTCCATCGTCAATCCCGCATTGTGACTCATTCCTTATTTACAGTTATTCATTCTCAATATCATTCGTCAATCAACTATTTACGCCTATATTCAATCATCATAATAAATCATTAGCGGCAGAAACAAGCAACAATGATCATCATTGTTATCATCCAATAATAAGTCGTGATCGTTATCATTATTATCATTGCCACTGCCACCACCAACCAACCCTTCCAAAACTATGAAACCAATGTCGAATCAAGCTTCGAAATCAGCCGTACACAGTCACGTGCACCACATCAAATTTGACACAACCTCTGCTCCGCGAGCATCGCTCTCCAGATGTTAGGCAATTGCCTGATGATGCTGGCTGGCTGTAACTACCGGCGAAACCTCTGCACCCATTTGTTAAACGCGTGCGGATCACTCTCCACTCTATACAAACCGTGAAAACTCTTTCTATTTTACAAGATAAGGCCCACTGAGCTACATAGCGCTTTTTTCAGACGCGGCCTTTCCTACCACAAATAATAGTTCGACGAAGTGGCTTATCATGTGGACATTTCTAGCAGCCAAGTACTCTCAACGCTTGATTCTAAATGCGGAGGGGATCACCGGAGGATCCGGAGAAAAATCTACGCGACCACGGGGAGCGAGAGAGCGAGAGAGAGACAGACAGACAGGGTCGGGATCGAACCCAGGCCCTCCTGTCCACCAGACGAAGAAGTTCATATCTCGCCACCGTGGCGTCCAAACCGAGAGAACGACTGCAGTACTCACTTGCTGCCACAGGCGGGGGTTGTCGGATCGACAGAAGGACATGCGGGGGGGGAGGTGATGGGAGCGGCGATCCAAACGCAGGCGGATGAGACACGACAGAGCAAAGCGTTAGTGCAGCCGATCCAGGCGTTACATAGCCCGCTGCGACGTGCACCCAGCGTTAGAACCCAGACTCTCTGTCTCCCCTTTGCTGCTGCTGCTGCTGATGGCGATGCTGATGCCGCTGCCACTGTTTGAAAACGAGCAAGCGTTATTCACGAACGGCGCTGGGACATGCGCTCGCGCATGGAAACATCAAAAGCAAGCGAGGAGCAGCGTGGTGCGGTGAAGTCCCGCCTCGATTCCCAGACACCGCGTGGGCGGCGAGCGATGGTGTCCCGAGGGACGCCTTCGCCATCCCGCACTGACCAGCGTGGTGAAGTATGGTCAAACAATCCGCATGACCGGCACGGCGTGCCCTGAGCGGCATTCACGCAGGAGCGGATTGGCAAAGGGCTTGCAAGACAAGTAGAGAGTACTTACTCCGTCATGTTATTATAGCGCACTCAGGGTACATTGCACGCTGGGTAATGGTAGCGTGGTACACGTGACGGTGGAAGAGGAGACCAAATACCCTGTAATAGGGGGCTCTCAAGAGCTTCCCTTCGTGGGGGACCCTCCCGTCAGCAGTGGCGCTAGCAGGCAATTGCAGCCCTGCGCCTTTGCATTCTCAATAGCGCTACACTGCGGTTTTTCTCGTCCCCTTTAACGTACATTGCACACTACCGAAACAACGTCATTCCATTGCGTGTGAGGCTCCCCTTGATCCAGCAAAAAAATATGTGTCAAAGTAACTATTAGAAATCCTTATGCTTACTCAATATTGCATCATCATTATTATTATGATTATTCTTGCGTTTATATTGCAGCAAACAACAAAATGGTCCTTTGTTCGCAGAAGCCAACGACGGACACCGGGCTGGGTGGCGTGCAGGCCGCCGGGGTGGGTGGGCACGCGCGCCCATTGAGCTCTCGCGCCGAGAGAGGGGGCAGACGAGGGCAACGTTGAATGCCGCCGTGCGTTCGACAAACTGCTGAGCGGCACGCAGATCGCGAGTTAGAGAGATCAAATCTTGTTGGTTTGAAGGTGTGGGGGAGAGAGGTGGGGGGGGGGGGGGTTGGGGTTCACTCAGCCCATCATATCTCCGGGGTCGATAAAATCGGTACAACTTTGTGGGGAAGTTCATTCAACAGCGATTGTCCTGTGGTTAGGCTCGCAGCCCTGCCATAGGAACGAGGAATTTCCACCGCTGGCTCAAGGCCGTTCATGGGACATGAGCACCAATGCCTCAATGTTCATTCGTGAAAGATGAATCGCGTTGACAGTTTTTTTTGTTTTGTTTTAACGCTGGAGAGCAACGCGAGCGAGCGCCCGCGAGCACTGACGCCCGCCGTGCGTGATGTGCGCGAGGTGGAGCGGTGGCGCAGCGGTTAGCGCGATGCGGTATGAACCCAGCGAAGCTTTGTTCGATTCCCGGCTAACATCAGCGGGCACGGTCGCTATCATCCTTTCGTATGGGGATCTGAGAGTCTGTGGATATGGGGATCTGGCCTTAGCTATAAAAACACAACGGGACATGTGGGAAAGAATGGGATGTGAGTATTAAGTGGTGTATCATTATTATAATTATTAATTTTACACAGCGGACAAACATTAACTTTGAATGCCCCCGAGAAGACTTGACAGATTTCCCAGGACAAGCAGCTACCGCAAAGAGAGGCGATCCTGAACAAACAAAAGCAGGCCAGGTGGCAACCTCGCATGGGGGGAGGTGGCGAGGGTGCAGGGGTCTGAGAAAGGAGGCCCCCAGCGTCACAGACATCGGAAGGGGGGGGGATAGGTGAGGGTGGGGTTGACCCACTTGCCACTCTGCCGAATCTCCTGGCCATTCTTGAGCCACTTGACCTCTGCGTTGGGGTCGTTCATCTCCACCACGAAGCGCGCCTTGGAGCCCTTGTCCACCTGGTATGCGGGGTCGAGCTTCTTGAGGAAGGCTGTGTCCATCGGTCAGTTGGGTCGGTCGGTTAATTTAGTCAGCCGGCCGGTCAGTCGGTCGGTGAGTCGGTCGGTGAGTCGGTCGGTGAGTCGGTTGTGTCATTGATGATTGAGTTGCATGGGGCGAATGGAAGAGACAAACGGACACGTTTCCATGATCAGCTTCAGATAACGAGACAAAGATTCCCTGTATAGCCTGTAACAGTCTGTTGGGGCAAGTGCTGTTAGCGAGCAGCAATTATGAAGGCCGGCACGGCTCACGAAAGATGTGGGTGGCCAGCATCACCCCCGACGCTGATGTTTACACACATTGCACCAGGAACTCTTTTAAGGCCGAGTCGACTTAGGGGAGGCCCGGGACTGTCCCATAGAACCGTCACTGGTGTTGACCGTGAGCGGAAATCGAACTCGGATCGCCGGGTTCGTAGTGCAGTGCGTTAACCGCTGCGCCACCGTTCCCCACACACGCTCGCACACACACACACACACCCCGCTCGCACACACACACAGCCCGCTCGCACACACACACCCCTCTCGCACACACACACACCCCGCTCGCACACACACACACCCCGCTCGCACACACACACACCCCGCTCGCACACACACACCCCTCTCGCACACACACACCCATCTCGCACACACACACCCCCCTCTCGCACACACACACACACCCCTCTCGCACACACACACACACACCCCTCTCGCATACACACACACACCCCTCTCGCACACACACGCACACCCCTCTCGCACACACACACCCCTCTCGCACACACACACACCTCTCGCACACACACACACCCCTCTCGCACACACACCCCTCTCGCACACACACCCTTCGCACACACACATACAACCACACACACACCCCTCTCGCACACACACACACCCCTCGCACACACACACACACCCCTCTCGCACACACACACCCCTCTCGCACACACACACACACACCCCTCTCGCACACACACCCCTCGCACACACACACACACCTCTCGCACACACACAAACACCCCTCTCGCACACACACACCCCTCGCACACACACACACCCCGCTCGCACACACACACACACCCCTCGCACACACACACACCCCGCTCGCACACACACATATACAACCACACACACACGCACAGACCCCCTCGCTCACCTGCGCTCTTGGTCTTCTCGGCCTTCATGCGCCGCAGCCTCTTCAGCATGCCGCGCAAGTCGGTGATTCCGTGCTGGAAGGCGATCTTCTCGTAGTCGTGGGGGTTGGCGTTCTTGAGCAGATTGAAGACGTCCTCGTCGGGACCCGTCTCCTGCACCTCCTTCAGCTCTCTGCAGGGGGAGCAGGAGCAGGAGGAGGAGCAGAAGAAGATTTAGGAGGATGGAGCGAGAAGGAGAGGAGCATGAAAGGAGGAGAAGATTTAGGAGGATGGAGCGGAGAGGATGAGGAGGATGGAGTGAGGATGAGAGGAGGATGAGAGGAGGAGGAGAGGACAGGATGGGGTGTGGAGAGGAAAAGGAGGCGGTGTAGAAGAGAATGAGACGAAGAGATCGAGTAGGGCACGGATCGGAAACCAAAAGAGCAAGAAGAGAGCCATCTTTTTTCGTAATCGGTGGAAGAAGAACAACTTTTTTTCGAGAGCCGCAATGCAATGTGAACACGAGACGTCGGCCCTTAATTAAAAACGTCAATGAAGGAAGTCCTGCGGCTCCTGAGTCGCAGGTTGCCGACCCCCGAGGTAGGGGAAGGGAGGCGAGGTTTGTTCACGTGAAGAGGTAAAAGGGATGCACCAGGCTCATTACAATCGAGCACTCGTCATGGAGTCATGAGCGGCGACGTCGTCGGTTCATGCTCTGCGCCACCAACTCAGCAGCCGAGGTAGATTCCCGTCCACAGCGAACGCCAGCGGCGAGTTCACCGAACCCACACTGACCAGCGTGGTGAAGTATGGTCAAACAAACCAGCGCAACTATCGGCGCAAACCACCATGAACATCCCGCACAACAACCATCCCCGTTACCACCACCACCACTACAGCCACCACCCACATTAGCGACAGACGGAAACTTGACAAAGTGGAGGTCGGTGGGTGGGGACGAAGTTCCGAATGTTAATACTCTTGAATAGAACCCTGACAGCGGGGAATCACCCCCGCCCCCCACTTCACGGCTCCCTCGCCCCCACGACCGCTCTCACCCTCCTCTGCGTCGTGAGTCGAAGCGGTGCCACCGAGAGGAGGCGGCCACGGCAGCGGCGTGGAGCGGGAAGCAGAAGCAGAAGAAGCGCAGGGGAGCGGAAGCATGAGGAGCAAGTGGAGGCAGAGCAGGCACACACAACGCGCACAGCCACACGCGCGCACACGCACGGACACACGCGCACAGCCACACGCGCGCACACGCACGGGCACACGCGCACAGCCACACGCGCGCACACGCAGGCGCGGCACACGGACACAGCAACGCTTCCGTTAGTTCAGCGAGGGCCCCGGAGCACAGAATGAATGCGATGCGCGAGCTGACGAGGGCGCGAATGAAGCTGCGTTCGCCATGAGCGCTCCAAGGTCGTCGCCTCTAACAGAGGCACGCGGCTCGAGACGGAGCCACGGGGCGCGAGCGGCAGGCGATCTGTCGAGCGCGCGGCGAAATGGCGCAAACGCGGGGTCCTTAAGATCCCCGCTGTGTGAGACCCCAGCGAGGCGGCGAGTCTTGGAGGCAACGCGCGTACCTCTTTTTAAGGAGGGCGCTGAAGTCCAACTCGCCTGCGTCATCTCCCATGACGCTCCTGTCATCACAGACACACACACGGACAAGACAACAACAACAAACAACAACAACAATAATAATGATGCAAGTTTCCCCCACGCTCCGTGCGGGTTCGTTCTTTCGCGCGATTCCTCGTCGCAAACGCGGCGAACCTATTTCTTATTTCCACTCAAAGTTCGCTTTCGTGCGGTTTGAATTCACTCGGACGCGGTGGGACGCGGCACAACACCGCGGTGCGTGGACAGAGCGCGCTGGGTGCGAATAGAGCGGGAGGGGGTGACCGGGGGGGTGTCAACCCCTGAAGTGAACGTTCAGAGTTTGCGGTAGCGTAGTGGTCCGCTATGGTGCGGTGGAGGACAGCTACCACAACATTGGGGGGGGGGGGGGGGGCGGGGGAGGGGTTAGATCACGTAAATATGTAAATGTATCGTTAAAACCCGCCACCACCCGACACAGCCAACTAATAAGGGTTGCCACTTGACAATTCGTCACGAGTTCTAGTTGGCTGCGTCGGGTGGTGGAGGGTTTTAACGACACATTTATATATTTAAGCGATTTAACACAACCCCCCCCCCCCCCTATTATGGATGATATTGGTGGCGAAATCCTGCTACGTGTCAAGCACAACAATGGGATTCACGACCCCACTCGCCGTGCTGCGACCGCCCGGGCTCCCATTGCAGACCCGGCCCCACGTGCACATTCTACACAACGACAAAAACAATCTCTAACGACACCCAACAACCCTCGCCTCTCAAGAGCGCTGGCATCTCAGGCGTGCGACACGGAGCTGAGCTGTCGTGCGGCGGCGGTGTGGGAGTTACGCCGCTGGTCTCGAGGTGGAGAAGGGAGGGGATGGGGATGATCGCCGTTCAAAAGCCCGCTGGGGCAGAGGAACGCTGCAATTGCGGGTGTCTACAATGAAGCAATTAAACGTCGGAGTTGTGGCGCAGTGGCCTGGGGTCGATTACGGCCAAAGCTGAACCGGTCTGGGGTCACCCCCTAGCACCCCCCCCCCATCCGCCCCCCGCGCCTCCACACTTGAACCAACCCGCACTGACCAGCATGGTGAAGAATGGTCAAACAACCTCCTTGACCGACACGCCATGCGGAGGCCTTCATCCAGCAATTGATTGAGAAGGTGTGCTCAAATAAATAAACATGTTAACTATCATTGGATATTTTTGATATCATCGAATCGGCCGTTTTGCTAAATGGCATATAATGAAAAGTAATAGCGTATCGTCAAAATAATACCGTATTGGGGTTATATCGTATCGTTTCGTGAAACGTGATATCGTATCGTATTGCAGAGTGTGATATCGATTTAAAGCTTTCGTGACTGCAAGGATTAATCTTCTTTGCTTCTTTCGGTAAAGTCACGTAGAATGAGAATAAAATAACAAAATTCTCACGACGTTTCGGCCACAACGGCCGCTTGTGTTGTGGCCGAAACGTCGTGAGAATGTAATTGTTTTATTTTATTATTTTATTCTCCTTCTACGTGACTTTACCGAAAGAACCAAAGAAGAGTGTGATATCGTATCGTGAAACGTTATATCGTATCGTACTGCGGAGTGTGATATCGTATCGTGAAACGTGATATCGCATCGCGACCGCCCGAGTCGGTGGGGACGGGACTCACGATCGGCGGAACGCCTGGCGGATGTCGAGCACTTGTGCGCTGTCCCGCGCTTCTGTAGACGCATCGACACACGGACACACACATCGACACACGGACACACGCATCGACACACAGACACACACATTGACACACACGGACACACACATCGACACACAGACACACACATCGACACACAGACACACACATCGACACACGGACACTCACATCGACACACACGGACACACACATCGACACACGGACACACGCATCGACACACAGACGCACGCATCGACACACAGACACAAACATCGACACACGGACACTCACATCGACACACACATCGACACACAGATTGACACACAGACACACACATCGACACACGGACACTCACATCGACACACGGACACACACATCGACACACAGACACACACATCGACACACGGACGCACGGATGGACACACGCACGCACAGAGAGGTCGTCACTTCAGACGCCCGAAGTTCGGGACTACATAGTCAGGTTTATACAGATTAATCTGAGCTTAAAATTTTTTTACGTTACGCGCACTCACGCACGTAGTGTCACCTCCTTCACTCCATGTCTGGATATTTATAGCCAAGAGGCTCGCTTTGTTGGTTATTGATTCAACAAAGTCACATAGCGTGAGCACAATCAGCCTCGCATGAAACACGTGGACGAAAATGACGGGGCAGCTCTTATCTTGGAGCCACACACCGAGAGTGTGGCCACGTAGTCCGGGCTGCCCCATATATGCTTCAAATTATACAACTAAACAAAACTTTCTAGAGTTGCTGCCCAGGTGAACCGGTCATTAAATCACTTCCTTCCCACTACCCATACAAACGCACACTCGACTGTACGCACATCCCCACCTCTGTGTTCTAAATCAATTAATTACTGACATTTTAATTAGTCTGTTTGTTTAAATGGCGTGCGTAAATATTTACCCTGGTTTTTTTTTGGAGTGAGGATGCGTATTTTCTAGGGGTGGGTGGAATTGTCGTTGTTTTAGATCACCCAATAAAACCAATGGTTCGAAACAGTTTTACTTTTAAATGAATTAATAACGAGTAACAACGCTCGCTAACAATGAACCCAGGGAACTCCCACGCCCCCCCCAAAGCCTCGTCTACGAGAGTGGCTTTTGTGACGGAGCGCCAAGTATCGCTTCCACTGGGCAGCCTCTTCTCGATCCACTGCTGGATGAAAGCCTCTGATCAACGCCGTGTCGGGCGGGGGTGGGGTGGTTGTGTTTGCACGCTCGTCTGTATTCACGCTGCAGCGCTATTAACTTGAGTGTTTAGAGGCGGTGTGCCCGATTTTTACTTCATTGGAAGCAAATTGTACGAGTCATTTTAATATACGCAACAAAATGAACCAAGGCAGACTCGTCTCGCCCATTATATATGCGCTTAAAATTTTATAGGAAATAAATCAAACCATGCCGAGGACATGGCATTTAGAAAATACGGTCCAAAATGAGACCCATCACAAAAAAAAACCGCGCGAGATAGAATAAAAAAACCCCGAAAACTCCTCAACTGTGCAGAGGAACAAAATAGTGTGATGGGAAACATCAAAATCTGCACAGCGAGCGAGAAATGTGCAGCAGCGTGGTGGAACGGAGTAGCGGTGCAACGGAACGAGACTAGCGAGCGGTGAGATGATGGGGGATCAACCTCACAGAGTCGCTGTGAACCGCGGGGGCTTCATGTCAACCAAGGTCTGTACCCGCAATACAATTTCGGCACCCGGCACACCACATCAGTTTGAGCTGTCGCTCATGGCTGTGGCAAATGATCGTCACGCACCTGCTCCAGTCTGTAGCAGTGCTTCGGCAAATGTGTGGCGAAATTAAGCCCTGTAGGGGTTTTGTGCGCGTATGTGACGATGCACGTGTGTGTGTGTGTTTGAATCATCTTTCTCCATGTCAGAAAGTGTGAGTCTGTCTGTATGTACAGCAGGTCCTGCGCCTCCCCTAGGCCGACTCAGCCTCAAATTAATACCTGGTGCGATGTGTAAACATTACTACCAGGGAGACAAAGGCGGCCGGGTGTGGTGCCGGCCACCCACCCCTACTAAGTGTGCCGTTCCGACCTGCATAAGTGCTCGCTAACAGCATTTGCACCTTCAGTTTGTTTAAGGTTACAAGAGGGATCTCTGTGTCGTGTGTGTCTGTGCACACGGTATGAAAAACGAGAGCAAAGTTGGCATTAGATATGAAAAAAACGAGACATAGACTCAGACAGAAAGACAGAGACACCAGTCACTGTACCGGATTGAGATTTGAAGCGTCGCAGCCGATAGGCAGGGAGATGCCCACACCAGATTTACAATCCAGGGGAACAAAAAAGCATCATCCGTTAAAAGTCCGTTCTCTCGAGAACTTACTTAAATTTTGAAAAATAAAAAAACGGCAAAAACCTCTTGAAGCCAGCAGAGTCAAGGAACTCACAATTCGGAGTAAGTCCGATAATAAATACGGAAAGTTAACAAAAGAAGACACTAAGACGTGAATCCCGGCGTCGGCGCTCATGGAGATGCGGGTGGCAGGGTTCGGCATTCTGCAGTCATCGATCGCCCTTAAATCTCAACGCTCATCGCGTGCAGGAAATTCCAGATTCGCTGCTTGACAACGCTAGGCAGTAAGTGAGAGATGTGCCCCCTTTAATGTGAAATTCTGCCGTAAAAAAAGGGATGAACTTCTGCCGTAAATGGATGGCGAAATATGTACGTCGATGGTTGAGACATTGGAATAGTTGTTTAATGAATTTAAAAGTGCTCTGGTATTTGATTGTTTAATATTTCATTGTATGTGTTTGAACACGTGCTCTTGGACGCTCCGGTCATTGGCGTACCGCATTCGTGGTCTCTCTCTCTCTCTCGTTCATTGTTTTCACATTCATCTCAAATATATTTAGCAAAAATACATAACATTCGTCATCATCATCCATGATCAATCCACTGCTGGATGCAGGCCTCCCCAAACCACGGGCATCTTCTCGAGATCCCGCGGTGTTCTCATCCACCCTGCACCTCCGCTCTCACCACTCCGTCCCGGCGGATGATTCGTTTCATTTATTGGCTGCCATTCCGACCGTCTTCTTAGCCATCCGAACATCTCTTTCAGCCTTCCACATCCAGCGAAGCAAAGTCAACCCGCCTCTTTCTCGCGGCAATAGCCACTCCGGTGAAACTGCACGGCAGTTGTTGCTTTCACAGTGGTCACTACATTTTATTTTTTAAACGCACTACGTCGTTAAGTTTTATTCTGTTCATGAGCACGATGGCGGTAAGTTCAGGAGCTAAATGACAATGTTGACGTCTGCTGGCCACAACGAGAGGGCTTCAGCAGAGGAACAGAGAGAGGGAGAGAGAGTTCGCGTGGTTGTGGTGCTCCTCCGCCTCCGGTGAAGGAGTGCAGACGACATTGGTTTACGGAATGGTCCATGGTGTGGCTTGCATGGCGACAATCACAGTACGGCTCTTCTATAATGCATCTCCATCAGTCTCCATGTATCTCTACGGGTCCCTGTGGGCTTAGTGCACGGTCCATAGTTCGGGATGCATGGCCACAATCGCACTGTGGCTTGTCTTTAAGCGTTATGTAAAAAAAAAATCGAAATTGTGATTAAACGTCATTTAAATTATTATTCTATTTTCGCGATATGCCGGACGTCCACCATAACCGCAAAGAGCTCTGCCTTCTATGTTTACATTTACTTGTTTATTTATTCCGGCTTCGAGAGGTTTTACTGTCGACAAGAAAAAAGACAAAACAAAAAGATGCCCAAAGAGCTGAGCGGTAAAATTTTGTCTTCGCGATGAATTCAGTGTTTGCAATGGCAAAAAAAAAACAAAAAATGAACGCTAAAAAAACCGAAATCACAAAAAAACAATCAACAAAAGATGATGTTGCAAAAAATGAAAAAGGTTCACAACTCCGGCAACGGAGTTTGTTTGTTTTGTTTACAGGCAGCAATCACGTGCAAGCTGGAGAAGGGAAAAACAGCGACGCTGACACCGTGGTGGTTTCAAACGATGCGATGTTGAGCTCCATTAAATACCTGCAGGTGTCGGGCGTGGTTCCAACCACCACCGGGCTTGCACATCCACGCTGGTGGGATGGTGGTGGTGGTGGTGAATGCACCAGGCCATCGACTCATTCCACAAATAAGCCACGTGATTTTAAATCCGTAGATGCCACTGCCTTGAAAAGGACATGCCACGTGTGTGGTTTTTTTTTTTAGTCAATTGTTAATTTGACCGTGAGGTTTGCCGAATATGTCGGATTGCAAATAAATGACCATTTCAGGACCAATGTTTGGCACAAGTATTTGTTTAAGCAGGCCAAATTTTATCGGCAGGGTCTGGCCCATTTAAAAAGAAAAAAAAATATTCGTCGAATTGCCCAGTGGAGCCATCTCGGAGAAAGCCGCGTAAGATTTGAACCGCGTGCCGCCCGCATGCGATGAGGCGCATGCATTCGTTCATTCAATGACGGCAGATTTTTTTTTTCCCACTCAGGACTTTCGCAGACAGCGGTCCTCCATCTTGTGTGAGAGAACGGCCGTGGAACATGGCTTCGCGGTCTGAGCTTGGCTGTGTTCACTCCAGCGCTGTCCTCTAGACAGTCTGGTCCCTTCACCTGATGAAGGCCACTTGTGTTGTGGCCGAAACGTCGTGATTTTTTTAATTTTTGTTGTTTTTTACGTGACTTTACCGAATAGAACCAAAGAGTATGGATCCTTGCAGTCACGAAAGCTTTAAATCTAGAATTCACAGGACTACTTCTGAAGCCACTACAATAAACGCCCCATTATCCTAACGGCTTTCATGCATTCCCTGCTATAAGAAAACTTCGTCTAATGCCAATCAATCCAAACATTTTATTCTCATAGCTGTAATATATTCAAAAGGAGTAGAAAATATAAATGTAGCGTGATGATTTATCCTCTATGTGGTGATTGGTGACCGGGCTTAGACCAGAATCACCTCACCGTACTTGAGAACCAAGTTTGATTTTAGGTTGAGCGACTGAAATCAGGGAAGATGGGATATCAGCGGTGCCTCTGAAATGGCCATTGTGACCCCCCCCCCCCCCCCCCCCACACAGCGGTGCGTCTCTACGTACCCTCGACCGTGATGTCAAAGGGGCAGCTGTCGATTTTATCCTTCATCGACACCTCGCATCGGTAGGAGCCGCTGAAGTTCTCCTTTGCGGCGATCACCTTCATCTCAAACGTGAAGTCCTGCGGGAGCGTGTGCAGGGGACGGCGAAGAGGGCGGCATTGATGTGTGGTGGGCGAACCGGGTGGCATTGCCAACCCTGCGTTGGTGGTGAGTGAACAGAGTGGCATTGCCATTTCTGCATTGGTGGTGAGTGAACAGAGTGGCATTGTTAACCCTGCGTTGGTGGTGGGCGAACAGAGTGGCATTGCCATTTCTGCATTGGTGGTTAGTGAACAGAGTGGCATTGCCAACCCTGTGTTGGTGGTGAGTGAACAGAGTGGCATTGCCAACCCTGCGTTGGTGGTGAGTGAACAGAGTGGCATTGCCAACCCTGCATTGGTGGTGAGTGAACAGAGTGACGTTGCCATCCCTGCATTGGTGGTGAGCGAACAGAGTAGCATTGCCATTTCTGCATTGGTGGTGGGCGAATCGGGTGGCGTTGCCATCTCTGTGTTGGTGGTTCCAATCGGAACCAGAACCCAAGCCTGACCCAAACACGTCACCAGCCCACCAGAAAACGAACCCAGCCCCTAACATTAACCTCACGAGCCAACCACAACGATAGCTCTAACCCTAACCCCGATGGCCGCGCTTGCCGACCGCGTACCCTGTCCCCCCGACCTCTGACCCCGACGCGCCACACAGATCCGCGACCCCACAAGCACCCAGCATGGCGTCCGCTGGTGTTAGACCGTTGACTTTGAATTACCAATGTGAGCCAATTCGGTTTCATCATCATCATCATCAACAACAACAAAACAACACCGCCGCTTCTCCGACGCAAGCAACAAGTCACGGTAAAAAAAAAAATCAATGATAAACAATGACAGTCAAGCGAAATGAAAAAAAAGAATAGATAGCAAATCGTAATCGCATTGCAAAAGCGATCCCTTTAAAAACAAATAATAACGATAAGTGCAGCCACGCGCCCCCCACCTTGGTGTTGCGGTCATACATCTCCTTGAACTGCAGGTGCTTGCCGGCCTTGCTGGCCAGGTCCATCCACTTGCCCTTGAACCACTTGACCGACGGCTTCTTGGACAGGCTCTCGGCGTGCACCTTGGCCACGAACGTCGCGTCTCCTCCTGCGCATGGACGGGGAGGGGGGGGGGGGGCAGGGGTCGCGGGGTCACGTGGGTCCGGGTCAACGCGTTGGCGTGTGTCTCACACACGCACGCACACGCGCGGTAGTGTAGCGGTTAGCGCTACGCTGCGCTACGAACCTGGCGACCAGGGTTCGATTCCCGCTCTCGGCCAATACCGGTGACGATTATCTGAACCGGTCCTGGGGCTTCCCCCTAGGTCGACTCGGCCTCAAATGAGTACCCGGTGCGATGTGTAAACATCGCCATTGGAGAAACAAAGACGGCCGGGCGTGGTGTTGGCCACTCACCCCCTCGTGTGCCATGCCGGCCTTTATAGATGCTCGCTAACGGCACTTGCCCTTACAGTCAAGCGCCATGGTTACATCACCGCCACTTAGTGGCGAATGGCGGTTGTTGTTGGCAAACCTATTCCAATGCAGTAGTGAATAAATTACACTGCAAATTGCTCATTTGGGATGACACGTTGAAACATTCCCCTCCATTGTAGTCTTTAGATGCAGATTCCTGGGTTAACACGAGTGATGATATTCTTGGTTCTTTCGCTAAAGTAATGTAGAAGGGAATCAATAAAATAATAAAAATATAAAACAACAAAATTATCGCGACTTTTCGACTGCAACACAAGCAATCATCATCAGGTGTGAAAACCACAGCAAGAAAATTTGAAAAAAGTGGCGTTTTTTAACGTTAGCACCACGGAGAGCGATTTGGCAATTTGTTCAGATGGACGAGTCCATCTATGTTCGGAAAAGAGGAGGGGGGAGACGAAAATAATGGATGCGGTCTGAAAGCCACCGTAAGCGTGAACAATCAATTAAGACCCGAAATGGTTTATCAAATCCTTCCAACGTTTGCTAAGCCAGAATCCATCTTCTCGGTTGAAATTGTCTCTGTGTTTGTATATGTGGATAGCCTCATGACCGAATCTCTCATGGTAGTCAGATGGCTTTATCAAATGTATCATACATTCATCCAGGCCAAAGTTCGGCAACAAAAAGAACAAGAAGAGCCATTTGTTCCGAATTCGGTAAAAAAACCCTCAATATATCAAGAGCCGCAATGCATTGTGGTGGTGAATACGAGACGGTGGTGGTCCTTAATAAATAACGGTCACGTAGTAGCGTCCTTTAAAGAGCCACACGCGACTCAGGAGCCGCGGGTTTGCTGACCCCCCTGATCCGGACAATTGAAAGCAGACGGTGCCCTCGATCGACCCGTGAAGATGATCCGATACGGACGGGCGACGATGACGCGGGGTCACGTAGCCATGTTAATCAGGTGATCCCAGAGGGCTCATCGTCAGGTCACGTAGTCATGTTAATCAGGTGATCTCATAGGGGTCATCGTCAGGTCACCTACCCATGTAAATCAGGTGAAGGTGATCCCAGAGGGCTCATCGTCAGGTCACGTAGTCATGTTAATCAGGTGAAGGTGATCTCATAGGGGTCATCGTCAGGTCACCTACCCATGTTAATCAGGTGAAGGTGATCTCATAGGGGTCATGGTCAGGTCACCTACCCATGTTAATCAGGTGAAGGTGATCCCAGAGGGGTCATCGTCAGGTCACCTACCCATGTTAATCAGGTGAAGGTGATCTCATAGGGGTCATTGTCAGGTCACCTACCCATGTAAATCAGGTGATCTCATAGGGGTCATCGTCAGGTCACCTACCCATGTTAATCAGGTGAAGGTGATCTCATAGGGGTCATCGTCAGGTCACCTACCCATGTAAATCAGGTGATCTCATAGGGGTCATCGTCAGGTCACCTACCCATGTAAATCAGGTGAAGGTGATCTCATAGGGGTCATCGTCAGGTCACCTACCCATGTAAATCAGGTGATCTCATAGGGGTCATCGTCAGGTCACCTACCCATGTAAATCAGGTGAAGGTGATCCCATAGGGGTCATCGTCAGGTCACCTACCCATGTTAATCAGGTGAAGGTGATCTCATAGGGGTCATCGTCAGGTCACCTACCCATGTTAATCAGGTGAAGGTGATCTCATAGGGGTCATCGTCAGGTCACTTACCCATGTTAATCAGGTGAAGGTGATCCCAGAGGGCTCATCGTCAGGTCACGTAGTCATGTTAATCCGGTGAAGGTGATCTCATAGGGGTCATCGTCAGGTCACCTACCCATGTTAATCAGGTGAAGGTGATCTCATAGGGGTCATCGTCAGGTCACCTACCCATGTAAATCAGGTGAAGGTGATCTCATAGGGGTCATCGTCACGTCACCTACCCATGTAAATCAGGTGAAGGTGATCCCATAGGGGTCATCGTCAGGTCACGTAGTCATGTTAATCAGGTGAAGGTGATCTCATAGGGGTCATCGTCAGGTCACCTACCCATGTTAATCAGGTGAAGGTGATCTCATAGGGGTCATCGTCAGGTCACCTACCCATGTTAATCAGGTGAAGGTGATCCCAGAGGGGTCATTGTCAGGTCACCTATCCATGTTAATCAGGTGAAGGTGATCTCATAGGGGTCATCGTCAGGTCACCTACCCATGTTAATCAGGTGAAGGTGATCTCATAGGGGTCATCGTCAGGTCACCTACCCATGTTAATCAGGTGAAGGTGATCCCATAGGGGTCATCGTCAGGTCACCTACCCATGTTAATCAGGTGAAGGTGATCCCATAGGGGTCATCGTCAGGTCACCTATCCATGTTAATCAGGTGAAGGTGATCCCATAGGGGTCATCGTCAGGTCACCTACCCATGTTAATCAGGTGAAGGTGATCCCATAGGGGTCATCGTCAGGTCACCTACCCATGTTAATCAGGTGAAGGTGATCCCATAGGGGTCATCGTCAGGTCACCTACCCATGTTAATCACCGTGGACACCGGCTTCTCCAGGAAGAGGCCGGTCAGCTCCTGGCGCCGCTCCCCTTCCGCCACCTCTGCGCGCAGCACGGAGCCAAGCGTGGTTACTTCACGGGGGATTGGGGGGCTCCACCGGGCACACCGCGGCGGTAGCTGGCAGCCCCTTCCCCTTTGCTGGTAGCCCCCCCCCCACGCCGTTCACTTTTACAATAGCCACACCCACAACATAATTTGCTCCGCTCACCGCACAGGTAACCCCGCCCACTACTCAGGTAGCCCCGCCCACTACTCAGGTAGCCCCGCCCACCTGTGATGTAGCCCCTCCTACTACACAAGTAACCCCGCCCATTACCCAAGTAGCCCCATCGACTGCTCAAGTAGCCCCGTTCACTCCTAAGGTCGCTCCGCCCACTACTTATAAAGCCCCACCTACTACTCCTGATACTGATTTTTTTTTATTAATTCATGGGGAATGTTACGAACACTTGGCTGATTTTAATTGAGTTTCTATCCGTGTCTATGCACTTGTGCCAACGTGGAAAGCCTGTGGCCAGCATTCCATTCACTGTAAAAAGGATCCATCAGCATCACGTGGCCATTTGCGCACAGTGCCCACCCGGTGTCTGGATAACAAAGCTCACTCGGAGATATCTCAGAAGTAGTTCTATGATATCTCCTCCAGTGGGCCACTCTCTAACACGGCGAGCGCTCCAAATTGATCCTTCATCTCGCGACACATTGGCGATAGCGCAATCCGAAAAAAGAAAATGTTGGGAAAGATCCCGGAGATAATCCCGCTCGGATCGCTGCTGCTCTAAAAGTGCAAATTGAACGGCGGAAACTCCCGTGTAGCAAAAGTCACTTCAACCGCAGCGTGGAGTGTTAAAGGGCAAGCCGGCGGCTGTTAGCGTGGCAGGGTGAAGGAGCGTGGGGGGGTCTGTGCAATGAGTGGCGGAGAACGGAAGCAGCATTGGAAGTTGGCAGGGATGGACCGGCCCGAGTCTCTCTTTGGAGAGAGCGAAGCGGCGGGAAGGGCAGAGAGAGAGAGAGTGAAGCACGCGGAGAGAGAGACACGCGGAGAGAGACACACAGGGAGCGTAAAACACACGGAGAGAGACACACGGAGAGAGACACACACGGAGAGAGAGACACACACGGAGAGAGAGAGACACGCGGAGAGAGACACACAGGGAGCGTAAAACACACGGAGAGAGACACAGAGAGAGAGAGAGAGACACACCTGGAGTGTTGCATCTCGCCAGAGAGAGTTTGCGCGCCATAACCAGCGCTGTACGACAACAATAATAATAAACACATTGCCATCGCACGAATGCCCGGTCACTCGAGGTGATACAGCGTTAAGATGACTTGGTAGAGGCTGGTCATATACAGGGCGCTAGCGACCCACAACACATACACAGATTGATATATAAACAGCAGGCTGTGTCATCTACAGACGTTGCATTGGAATAGCGGTGATGGCACGAGGCCCTGACGAGTGGAAGAGGCATTGGGTTGCTCCTCGTGTTTGAAGAAACACACAAATCATTTGAAACGTGTTGCCCCATGTGTCGGTGACACGGAACGGACTAAGCACTCAATGATGTGCAGTTGGGATGTCATAATAATGGTCGTATAATATGCATCGCTTTAGCACTCATCATCATCATGTTAGTTATCGCTACTATTGCCAACATGAGCTTCACGCAGCATTCATGATAATATTCATTGAAAATATTATACTGATTAACTCTATGAATTGTCATTTAAATAATCATCACCGCCATCATTCACAAATGCCATCATCATAATTAACCGCTACCATCATAATCATTACAATAACAATAATCATCATCATAATCCTCATCAGTTTTCATCACCAGCACATTATTATAATCATCATTAACAGCTACCATCACAATCATCAGTACAATTTTCAATCATCATTATCATCTTGACTTAAAGATTTCGTGAATGCAGAAATTCATATTCTTGGGTCTTTCGGTAAAGTCACGTATAAAATATGTAGTAAAGTCACGTAGAAAAATAAAATAATTATTTGATTTTATTTTCTACGTGACTTTACCGAATTGAACCAAAGAGTCACGCAGATAGGTTCAGAGAAAATAATCAAAAATAACAGAAAACTACGACGTTTCGATCGCAACGCAAGCGTTCGTCGTTGAACCTATTTACGTGACTTTACCGAAAGGCCCAAGAATATCATTATCATCAGTATCATAAAGGGTATCATCATCATCCTCTCAATCACCATCATGGCTGTCTGTGTGCCACCACAACCATTTTCTTTCTTGAGCAATTCTTTAGTACATTTTTCAATAATCATCATTAGTATCATAAAGGGAATCATCATCATCATCCTCTCCATCACCATCACGGCTGTGTGTGTGGGTGTGTGACCACCAGGCGCACCTTCTCCTGTGAGCATGTCTTCAGGATTTAATTCCGGCGTGGGCGCGTCTCCATCGCTCGCTGGGGCACCTGTGGCGCGGGTTCGGGGGGAAATCGGTCAAAACGAAGTCGGCAAAAGCATCCGGACAGCTCAGCAGCCAAGAGATGGGTCACCAGAATGCGCGTGCAAGTGGCACCCCATGGTAAGATGGGTGAGGAGCGGTGGAGCAGCGGTTAGCGCTACGCCGCGTTACGAACCCGGCGACCCGAGTTACATTCCCGCACAAGGCCAACATCAGTGACGATTATTATCTGAAACGGTTATGGGCCTCCCCTAGGTCGACTCGGCTTCAAATGAGTGCCTGGTGCGGTGTGTAAACATCCTCACTCGGGAGACAAAGGCTATATGGGGGACCTTTGTCTTTATACTAAGACAGGCTCCTCGCGTCAGGGTTTTCAAATTACATCCTGCCCTTAATAATCTTGCGCGTTGTTACCCGCTGCACGTGTCTGATGATTGCAAAACCTATCCCACGTGACAGAAAGTGATTATTTGAAGCTGGATGATTGCATTGTGTATATGCATCTTGATTGAAATCTGCACTCGCCACGTGACAAGGGACACACGCGAGATCTATCTCTCAATTTGAAGCAGAATTTTCCATGTTACATGCGATGTCTTGATTTGAAGCTTTCGCGACTGCAGTAATCCATGCTCTGTGGTTGTCTCACCTGATGACGATTGCTTGTGTTGCGATCGAAACGTCGTAAAATATTATTTTTTCTACCTACGTGACTTTACCGAAAGAACCAAAGAGTATGCATGCGATGTGTTTACCAATCATCAAGGCTTGTGCAGAGTGTGAACGCGTGCTTTGTATTTGAACAGAGCACGTGGGTAACCAGGGAAAGGCGTCGGGGTACCGTAATGGGTCGCGAGAAGTGGAGTTTGAGCAACTTGGTGTTGACATTGAGTAGAAATATGCACATCACAGGATATCTTTCTCGTCGTCGTCATCATCATCATCAACTCCACCACCACTACCTCCAGTGCCACCACTACCTGTGCCACAACCACTACCTCCACTTCCATCACCACTACCACCACTACCTCCACCTCTGTCACCACCTCCACTAATTTCACCACTACCGCTACCACCATAAATCACAACTTCTACCACCCAACTATTCCTCCATCTTCGTTACCACCACCACTATCCACCACAACCACCAATGATGCCTCTGCCATTACCACTGCCTCTACCACCACGACATACATCACGTCCACTTCCTTCTCCAACCACCACTACATACACCACCACTACCTTCACTTCCGCCACGAATACAACCATAACCCTAATCATAACTCTAACCATAACCCTTGCCATAACACGAACTATAACCATAGCTATAACCATAGCCATAACCCTAATCATAACCCTCACCATAAACCTAACAATAACCCTAGCCACAACCCTAACCATAATCTTAGCCACAACCCTAACCATAATCTTAGCCATAACCCTAATCATAACTCTAACCATAACCCTAGCCATAACACGAACTATAACCCTAGCCATAACCATAGCCGTAACCCCAAACATAACCCTAATCATAACCCTAGCCATAGCCTAAGCCACAACCGCTTGCATCCACACAAGAGTCATCACCGTCAGCATTGGCCGCCGCAGTTGCGCTTTGATTTGGAGCTCCGTTCGCCTCCGCTGGGGGGAAAGAGAGAGAAGTCACCTTGCATCAAAAGACAACGCGAAGCAGCCCCAGCTTACACGCGGGCACGCCAGTCCACTCAGGGAGCCTGCATCGCGTTTATAGGAGCATAATCGATTTGCCGTTAAATATGTTCTATTAAAAATATAGCATTCTTAAGTGTTTTTTTTTTTATTACGTCTCGGTGTACATTTATCTCGTATGAACGCATCTTCAATTATATTTTGGAAGCGAATGGAAGAATGCGGTTCGACATACGACATTTTACGTTACGGATACGGCTTTCAGGAACGTACCTGCTACATATACCAAGGGATGCTCATATTAATGATTCGATGTATGCATCGTGAGTTTAAGAGCACATTCAAATGAAGGGGACAATTCTGGTAAGGTAATTTCGTTAAGGTGATTTTCCCGGGGAGATAAAGAAACTATATTTCACGGAAAGGTCACGGAATGAGGTGGATACCGAAGGTTTGAAAATAAATCAAGGAAGTGCCGAATCCGATTCGTCGTCTCACTGGACATCTGCGAGAAAAAATAGCTTCATAGCTCATCGGATTCTTCCAGCCTAAATAAGATTGTGATTGTGACGCAGGAATTTTGATTGTGAATTTTATTGCGAATTGTGATTGTGAAATTTTTATTGTGAATTTATATTGTGAGTTTTGTTTGTGACTTTTGATTGTGGATTTTTACATTTTTATTGTGAAATTTGACTGTGAATTTTTATTGTGAATTTCGATTGTGAATTTTTATTGTGAATTTTAATTGTGAATTTCGATTGTGAATTTTCCTTGAGAATTTTTTGTGTGAATTTTTATTGCAAATTTTGATTGTGAATTTGATTTGCGCATTTTCATTGTAAAATTTGATTGGAATACAGGAATTTTCCACGAGCTCGCGGTAGACTTCACCATCGGTTTAACGACGCCTTCACCATCGTTCCAACAACGTCGCCGTCACGATTATAATCGACGGTTCAACGCGTCCTCGCTTGTGTGAGAAGTTGGTATTGTGGTCTTGGATGCGAAAACTTAATGGATTAATTTATCTGTTGTGATAACTTCTGTTATTAATGTTGTTTTTGCTAATTTTGTTTTGGTGCCATTTCTTTACGATTCATTTGCTCATTTGTATCTTCTCGGCGTTTTTACTTGCTCGAGAGTTGCTATACAATAACAAGATTTGGCCCTGATACGCAATTAGTGTACCGTGTCGCGGGATGCAATTCGCATGAATGACGCGATGTAAACTAAAATTACGAATGATAATAAAAAAAATATTATAATTGTAATGAATGAAGCCGATTTGCTTTGTTCGTGTACCTGGTGCCGGCGACGCCTCCATGGCTGCAGAGGCAGCTACCGGAGTTGCTGCTGAACAACACATTCAACAATCCCGGATTCATGTCAACATCAATCGTCGTCGTCAAATGACCTTGACAATTCATCGTTAGGTGAAGGGCGCAGCCCCTCCAATCGCTTGCTCACGCCACTGCTGGTACAACGTTCCTCCACTACGCGGAGCACGAGAGAGCGAGAGACGTCGGTAAGATTTTGTTTTGGTTACGGAAGAGGTAGGGAGCACCTAACCCACGCTAAATCGCACCACACGCTGCCCCGCCGATAGCCTTAACTGTGGCGCGGGGCCCATTCATACCGCTGGGGTGGACGGAAACCGGTGGGGAATTGAACAACAACAAAAAAAAACGCGCCCCATTTGTTTCGGCTGCCGCGCCGGGGAGACCGAACTGACGATCTCCGCCTGCATTGCTACGTGCAGCGTGCTCGCAAATCTGACGTGGCCGGCGTCCCGGCCTTCATCGTCAATCAGCACTCTTCGTTAATTTCAGAAAAGCAAATTGCGATATTTTGGTGTTTGTTCCCTGCGTCACGTGATATGTGTTTAGCAATCATCAGGCACGCGCAGCGCGGTCGCTGGAAGGGATTTTCAGAAGTAGTTCTGTAATGCCGAAGCTCCTTCCGCAGGGCGTTCTCTATCGAGGGGAGGGGGTGGTAAAGTGGATTTGTTTGATGCGCTTAAAACTAAATATTTTTAAATGTGACCAGGGAAGGTCCACTGTGGTATATAGCTTTTTTTCAGACGCGACCTGGCCACAAATGATAGCTCAACGAAGTGGCTCATCACGTTGAGATGTCTAGCAGCCAAATACATTTATAAATGTGGAGGGAAAAACCGGAGGACCCGGAGAAAAATCCACGCTACCACGGGGAGTAACATGCAAACTTAAAATATACAGGCGTCAGGGTCGGGAATGAACCCACGACCACCCGTATACTAGGCGAGGTAGTTAACATTTCGCCACCGTGGCACCCCAACCAGATGACGACCAGGATAGTCTTCTTGAGTCGAGCACTGCCTAGCGGGAAAATTCCAAACGGGAACCGCAGACATCGTTACACGACGCCCATAGCACAAACGGGAATTCAATTGGGGGAAAAAGGACAGTCCTAAGAATGTTGTACAAATAAAAAATTAAATCACCGCACGAAATGAATAGAGGTAACGAGTTAATGAACACGCGATGGAAATACGAAAGACAAAGATACCCTGTAGCCTACATAGACCGTTGGGGTCAAGTGCTGCCATAAGCGAGCACATCATAAGGAGGACATGGCGCAAGAGGGAGTGGATGTGGTGTGGATGTCACCACGCACAGCCCCGTCCCCCTTCCCCAGTTCTGGATTCCTCATTTGAGGCTACGCCGACGTAGCAGAGGTCCAGGTTCAGATATCGCTCGCCCACTTGATGTTAGCCGTGGCCGGGAATCGAACTCGGGCCGCGGAGGGCATAACGCAGCGCAGCTAAACACTGCACCACCACTTTTTGCGGTGGGCAAAGATAAAGATCTCCCCATGTAGCCACCCGTACAGGCTGCTGGGGCAAGTGGTGTTAGCGAGCGCCTAATAAGGCTGGCATAGTGCACGAGGCAGTGGTGCGGTGGTCATCACCACCACCACCACGCACGGCCGCCTTTGCCTCCCCAAGAGGTGACCGTGTACACACTGCACAAGAGTGACGGACACACACAAGACAAAGAAAGATCCGCCGTGTAGCCTTTCAGAGGCTGCTGGGGCGAGTGCTGTTAGTCATCACACACACGTGCTCACGTGCTTTGCCACACGAGGTGAAGTAAGTACACAATCCCTGGGGGCGGTGAGCGCCACGCTGGTTGCGACGACGCACGAGCGACGACTCGAGACGCGCGGGTGGCAGCGGCAGGGAGGAGCAGCAACCGCCGCTTGGCTTGACCAGTGGCAGACGGCGCGTGCCCCTTGACCCCTCCCGACACCGGCGAGGGTTAAGGTGGTGGCAGGGCCGGATTAAGGCACGGGGGGCTTTAGGGGCTGCAGCCCAGGGGGCTCCGCCAGCTGGAGGGCCTCCAGAGATGAAATGAACAGTTATTTCGTTTGCGAATGCTGAATTGTATTTGTTGTTGGCCTTGTAAAAATACAATTTAATTTGTCTTTAACTTTGTTTTCCTTTTGAATATATTACCTGGGGCGGGGGTCTCACAGTACCTGTAGCCCAGGGGCCTACAAAATCTTAATCCGACCCTGGCTGGTGGGGGGGGGGGACGGTGGGTGGGTGGATGTGGGGGTGAGGGTGGTAGAACGTAGCGCGGCCACGTCGCTCCACGAACGGCGCGCTCCCTCACCCTCCGCCGCCGCCGCCGCAGCAGCAGCAGCCGCCGCCGCCTTGACTTTGAGCTCGAACTTGACCTTGGAGGTGCCACACACCACGGCGTAGGAGCCCGCGTCCTCCGCGGCGGCCGCGTCGACCTTCAGCGTGTGGCGGTTGCCCTCGGCCTGCACGGACACGCGACCGCCGGCCGCCACCTCCTTGCCGTCTCGCTGCCACTTGACCTTGGCGCCGACCTTGGCCGTCTCGGCCACAAACTCGGCCGCTGAGCCGGCGGCCACCTCCAGCGAGGCGGGTTTCTTGCTGAAGGCGGACACTGCGCGGAGACGCGGAGACGCGGAGACGCGGGGACTTTTGATTATTGTTGGTGGTGGCGGTGCTGGTGGTTGGTGGTGGTCGTCGTGGTGTTTAATGACGATGGTGGTGGTGGTGGTGGTTTCGCTGGTGGTGGTGGTGATAGTGCGGGCACGGCGGGGAGCACAGTTGGCGCATCTGCCAGTCATCTCACTCAATCAACCCATGGTATTTGGGTCTGTCCCGTGACCTCCTCCTGCCAGCAAGCGAGCCTTCGATACTTCACGTGGCCTCGAACCGCGCCTGGCCTGGCGCAAGCGCCGTGTTGGCCTCACCGCCACTCAGTGGTGAACGGTCGTTGTTGGTTGTGGTGATGATGATGATGGTTTGGTGGTGGTTGTTGTCATTATGTTAATGCTGGTGGTGGTATTTGTTGCTGTTAGTCGTTGATGCTGGCTTAGCTCGTGATGGTGGTTGCTGATGTGACGCTACGAACCTGGCGACCCGAGTTCGATTCCCGCTCACGGCCAATATTGGTGACGATTATCTGAACCAGTGCTGGGCCTCCCCTAGGTGGACTCAGCCTCTAATGAGCACCTGGTGCAGTGTGCAAACATAGCCACGAGGGAGACAAAGGCGGCCGGGCGTGGTGCTGGCCACCCACCCCTTCGTGCACCGTTCCGGCCTTCATAAGTGCTCGCTAAGAGCACTTGCCCATACAGTCTGTTAAGGCTATACGGGGGATCTTTGTCTCATTTCTCTGTGTATATATGTGTGAGTGTGTGTGTCTGTGAGTACGTGTGCACTCACCACTATCTTCTCCGTGGGAATGTAGGCAAGTGGCTGAGTGGCAGTTATGTCTACGAAACCGGCGTGCCCCACTGCACAATTTCAGGAGACACGTCAATCCAAGTGCCACTTAAATATAACGATGAAGTCACTGGCTTGTGGCTGGGACCTTACGGGAGCCGTCCTCCCCCTGGCGAGTGAGGGTGACGCTACCTTTGACCCCCTCGTGCGCCGTCACACCGCACCAACCCTCGGTTCCTCCAACCGCAACGCAATCCCAGGCTCTGTATTCTTAGTCACGGCCCAGGCTCTGGCTCAAGATAATCGGAGCGAGGGACCACAGGCAAGCTGTATGGCTACCAGGCGGGTGAGCCGGCGCTACCAACAATTTCCCAAGCTCTGCGGTCCTCTCTAAATGAAGGCGCTATCCGCCAATTAACAAGTATTTACACGTGGGAGATAACTGGAGCAGCTGTAGAAACCCCACGCGTGCGAGGGGACAACACTCTATCCCGTGTGGCTTGAACAGGCGACGTCCCCGTTTTTCAGAAAGTGAGTTTCACAACATTTGTGCGGTGATACACCAACCCTCTCTGCCTCCACAGTGCCGAATTACAGGCCACGGGCGTCGCCAACAATGCCCGACTTATTCCAACTCCTACCCTTTCAAGGGTGAGGGCCCACGACCGGCTCTTTATAACTCCACGCCCTAACCACTGCGTCATAGACGAGACCACCGAACGTACACCAGCAGCATGTGCTTTGTGTGTCTGTGTTGTGCTTTGGCTACGTACGGCACGAAAGAAGTTCAACATGCGTACACACTACTGCCTGGAACACTGCAGTGTGGCCTAAAAAAATATTTACTCGATTGGGATGACACGTAGCAACGTCGCAGCCTACTGACAGACTCATATCCCGTTTGCGGGCCGGGCTGGTATCGAGTCATCTTGCGCCCACAGGGACAGCTGCCACTGCGAGAGGGGGGTGCCCATTTGAATGTTTGCAAATGAGACGTGATGTAAAGTGCTGCATCGCCCCCGCGTATAGGACGCTGCATGGAAAAGCAATTGATTATTATAACATAACAATTATCAACAACTGCCTCTTTTGAAGGTGCACTTTGCAATCGCGCGCCGAGATGAGCGTGGTTTGCCCGTCCGCCTTGGGGTACACTTTGTGAAAGTGCCGTGAGGCGGTTAGTGATCGACAGTGCTCATCAATGTTCCGGGCACGTGCTGCGCCTAACGGCTTCTATATTTAAACGTCCGTACCGATGCCCCCCCCTTCCCCCCCCGCTAGAAACCGATGACCTCTGCCTCACCCCAAGGGCACCGCCCCGTGATCCTCACCCGCACGCACGGGGCCGCAGCAGTGGAAGTTTATCACCCTGCACATTGTCGCCTGTCCAGGAGGAGTAGCTGGAGAAAACCCCCACCACGCGCTCGAAATAGCAGACGGGTTTCAAGAACCTACTTTCTCTACTGCCACATTCCGACCGCTCCCCACCCCCACCCCTCTCCCCGTCAACACGTCCGTCGTGTTTGACGGCTCCGTAAATCTCGACACGGCCCAGCAACCCCCTCGCCTCCAAAAGCGCTGGATCACGGGAAAGCATCGTTATCACCACGCCCGTTGACATCAGTCAGCCTCATATTCGATCCCTCGCACAACGTGGATCATCGCAGCATCTCTGTGTTTGCCACGCAAACACTCTCGTTATTGTGTCTGTGTGGTCTGTGACACACTCCGGTCGTCTAAATTGTCTTATGGTTGTTATTGTTTGTCTTGCATCACACTGGGATTTTTGTACACGGCGTTACATTACGGTGTTTTTTTTCTGGAAGATTTGCTGGTTTATCCGGGATGATTCTGTTTGCGCGTCGTCGCTTTAAGATGTTTCTCTCTTCATATTTAGTTTGTTGCGGTTGCACCCGACTCAAAAGCCGCATGGCTCACAGGGCTATGCCTAATAAATAAAACTTGAAACTTAAACTTGTCATCGTCGCAGCAGCGGCTTTTGGCTGCGAGCCATCGAAACAAAGACGGCGGTCACCGCATCGCGTGGCGCTTTCAGACGCGCGCCTGCGGCCGTCTGGAACGTTCTTCCCTTCCTATCTTAGGAAGCCACTGGTAGCTATGCCACTTTGAAATCGTCGAGACTGATAAAGTCATTACTTTAGAACACGCTTTTTTGTGTTCAGTTTGTTGTCCTTCCCCCGCACCTCCGACTAGCGCGGTTGGTTACGCACGGTGCGAAATAAGCTCACAGTACAAACACAAGTACACGTGCGTCTAACCCTTGCTACCTGCACGCTACGCGAACGCCAACACGGGCACCTTGGACACAAGCTGGGACTCGAATCCGCTGTCGAGTCCCCCACGATAAAAAAACAGAGTTCTCGGCTGTAGCGACGAGTTGAGCGTCTCAGTCCGCGTTAGCAATTCCTTCAAAACGTCTCTCACCGCTGCCGTCTCCCGGTCAAACCTCGTCGCCCACACTCGTACGAAAGCTGACAGCGCCCACGTTATTTGTGGTGGTGGTCACCCATCCGAGTACTGACCAGCCTCGTCGCCGCTTAGCGCCCGAGATGCAACGGAGTTTGCGCGCGTCCAAGGGCAATTCGGTCATCAACATGAGCAGCCGTGATCGATCCACTGCTGGATGCAGACCTTGTCCGCAAGGCGTCAACGTCTCTCGCGGTCCTGCGAGGTGATTAGTCTGCCGAGCACTTGCACACGAGGTGCTGATTTCACCACTATTCTCCACCGTCGGACATCAACCGTCTAGAGCGACGCCTCCTCCTGCCCAATCCAACTTTACTTCTCTCAAAAGTTCGGCGTTTGGGGGCCGATTATTTGTTTCCGTTCGCGCTGCTAAAATTATGTTTAATGTTGCTCCGCTGACCACGCGTATCCCCCTCTCCACCCCCACCAACCCACCGTCTGCCAAGCCCCCCCCCCCCAACTCCCCAGCCCCCCAGCCACAGTTGTCGGCCTCGTTAAAGCAAAATTTAGGTTATGGGGAAACACGACCCCTGGGGGAAGAATGAAACTGGAGGCCGCGCCACTTAAGCTCCCCCGCGGTTGAGGCTGCGTGAGGTCGAGGGATGCAGGCGTCATCACCTCTCGCGGGTTACCGTGGGGGGGGGGGGGTGTAATCAGTGCCCCCGTGGGGGGTGATCAGTACCCCCTATTAATAACGAAGTCGCCAGCATCGCGACGCGCGGTGACGAAAGGCGCCATACCTCGAGCGCGATCCACACCGCGTGCTTCGGCAGCCCACGTCGAGATTCGCCGCACCCCTCCCTCTCACCCCACCCCGTTCCATACGACGGGCAGACCTTCTAGTGACAATGCCCAGCCCACGTGGATGAACCCGGAGTTAAGGTGGTGGAGGCCTTTGCTCGCCTCGCCACGTCTCGTGAGTTGGTTGGAGCGCGCCTGGCAGGACCGGTCGCAGGTGTCCAACTCGGCCCCGTCGGGGTTGCCAGCGCCTCGCGCTCAGTCCGCCGGGCCGCGAAGCGTTCCACCACCGGCACCGCTAAATCGGTTATAGGCGGACGCACGGGTTTTGGCGTGACCGATGCAAACCTGTGTTATGGATAAACCTGTGTTATGGATAAACCTGTGTTATGGATAAACCTGTGTTGTAGATAAACCTGTGTTGTAGATAAACCTGTGTTGTGGATAAACCTGTGTTGTAGATAAACCTGTGTTGTGGATAAACCTGTGTTATGGATAAACCTGTGTTATGGATAAACCTGTGTTGTAGATAAACCTGTGTTGTAGATAAACCTGTGTTGTGGATAAACCTGTGTTATGGATAAACCTGTGTTGTAGATAAACCTGTGTTGTAGATAAACCTGTGTTGTGGATAAACCTGTGTTATGGATAAACCTGTGTTATGGATAAACCTGTGTTGTAGATAAACCTGTGTTGTAGATAAACCTGTGTTGTGGATAAACCTGTGTTGTGGATAAACCTGTGTTATGGATAAACCTGTGTTGTAGATAAACCTGTGTTGTGGATAAACCTGTGTTGTGGATAAACCTGTGTTGTGGATAAACCTGTGTTGTAGATAAACCTGTGTTGTAGATAAACCTGTGTTGTGGATAAACCTGTGTTGTGGATAAACCTGTGTTATGGATAAACCTGTGTTGTAGATAAACCTGTGTTGTGGATAAACCTGTGTTGTGGATAAACCTGTGTTGTGGATAAACCTGTGTTGTG